GACCATTATTTGATAGAGATTGATTATGATATTCACTGTAGACCTGTCCACCGGTTTCATAACAATTGAGTTATGGTTTTGATGCATTGTGCATTGGGATAGTCTAGAGCATTTGAAGTTGTTCCTTACTGAGAGTTAAGCCTGGGTGGGGAATAGAAAATGACTGCTATCCTTTTATAGCTTGTTAAAGAAAATGTTTCATTAATCTAGTTACTGTACTTGTGAAAAGTAGTCTGGACTGATTCTGTTTGCAACCTGTTTTCAGAGTGCCAAGATTTGTATAGCAGTCTTCCTATGTACTGAACAACTAAAAGGCTGTAGTATATTTACTTACGTAACAGTAATCTCTGGGTTATGGTAGGTCCTGCTTTATCCTCCGCTCTTCCCTGGAGCAGAGTTTGAGGCAGAGGAGGCGGTGACACAGTTTTTGCCCCCTGTCTGGCTTCTGCTGCAGTTCTCCCCCCTTTTTTTACTCCGTCAGTTCCTCGTCTGCTATTGATTCAGGAGCTCCTAGCTACAGTGGGCTGTGAGAGTTGGCAGTGATGATGCCCTGATGGCTGGTCTCCCTTGTTCACTTGCCTTCACGGCTATAGCCTAGATGTTAGAAGGTGAAATTAATGGAGTTGTGGATTAGGTAAATGCTAATGTATTCATTATTCCAAGGTTATATTTTCTATGCTCTTAAGGAAGAAATATATTAGTGTAAGACTGTAATGATATTGAATTGTGTTGTACACATGTAGCATGTACAACATTAGAATGTTTTCAGTTATTATGGTTGTTGTATACATCTCATTATTTGCATTGTAAAGATTTTCAAGGAATATTACTATGTTGTATAAAACTGTTCACCATTGATAATTTTACTGTTGCTAGGACAGTTTTTTTTACCATACTTGAAAACATTTAGTGAATAATGTCTAGCCATGTAATTAATCCTGTAGATAATATCCTTAGTATATGTAATACTGTACTTAGAAAAAAAATATAGGTGTAAATATGGGTTTGTTGGGTTGAAATAGCATCTAAATCTGTACTGGTATTTTTGCTAATAATAATTGTTTCACTGCCATCACTTGTAAAAATCAGTAGTGCACTTAATCTTTATATAATGTGAAATTCTCATTATGCACAAAGGCACCTAACATTGGATGTACTAATCTTGGTTGCAGGTACTGTATGCCATATTGGCTTTTTATAATAAAACTTTAGTTTTCTACTTGCTGGCAATCACCGACTGGAATAACTCCTGCAGCAGTTGTGCAGTAAATAGATGCCCATGAAGTACTGTGTATTAACTGGTTTGCTTTAGAGACGTGGGATTAGGATCGAATACTATGCCTATGTTCTACAGTACTGTACAACTCTTGACTTTCAGCTATTACTTTTTGATAGATGTAAAGCTTGATTTTCTTCGCCAACAGGTGCAACTGTGGTGTCATGGCGCGTGAACAACCAGGAGCAACTTTTTGTTAGGTATGTTCAGTTTAGCCACTTGTGTGATACAATACTGTACAAGTAAATTTTATGGTAAATGTTCTAGATAATGACATAAATTATCATATTGATTTGTATGCACATTCACTTGTTTTACTTTATATGCAGTGTATATGATACTGCATTTAATATGTAATAAAAATTACATTAGTTTTTATTATCTTAGTAGCACTAGCATAGGTAGCGTGGTTTAAATTTTTCATGCCATATATTTTTATACAAGTCCTTAACAAATGAAGAAATTGTAACTGCAGATCTAGAAACTGTTCAACAACTTCTGAAAGAGATATCACTACAGTATTTTTGTGTGGTATTTTTATCAGTTAATAATGAATGGGAAGCATTGTTGGGGAGAAGAATATTAAAAAGGGAATGGGGAAAAAAAGTTTTTCAGCAGATTTTTTGTTATTATATACATGGCACATTTCTGTGTATACAAACTGGTAGTGTATAGGTGGGCAGACAGGATGCAACTCTTCCCTATCCACCAAGAAATCCCTATTTTCATTTACACCTTGTACTCTCATCTTTCCAATAGCTTCTCTGCAATGGTTTTCCACTAGTACTGTATTTATATACCCAAACACAATTTTCCTCCTAATTGCTTCACACAGTCATTCAGTTAATCATTCAGTTAATTCTAAAATACTTCTTAATTCTTCAACATTCTCTTAACACAAGAACATGCAAACAATCAGTAACAATATCATGACTGAAAATTAGATACCTCACTGTACATATCTCGCATTCAATTCAGGATATTCTTGTATTACATACCTCATCACATCCCCTCAATATCTCTGGTAAAAACATTGCTAACCCTCTTCTTTTGTAAGTTACAATTTGTTTTTAATTTCTGATCATAACTAACTTTCAAACTCTTATAACACTTAATTATTCACCATTCACCCATTTACCCTTCACAATATGATGTCTCACTCATTTCAAACACATCTTTCATCTTTCCATTTGTAGAATTTACTTTCAAATCTTCATGTGTCCTCATTTATATCATTTAGATTAAGCACATTTAATTCCTCATTTAATTTCTGCCAAGCTTCCACTAGGCTTTTGCCCAGTTTCCTACCACCCACTGTATGAGAGCCAAAGGGGTTTGGCAACACAGACAAGGCTCAAATGTTTTGCAGGTGCAACAACAGAAAGGACTTATGTGAATTTGGCAGAGGAACATTTCAATAGCCTTAAATTAGCAAGTGAATAGTGAACTACAGTAGAAAGTAGTTGAGGCTAATACCATACTGCGCATGGCTTTAAATGTAGATATACTGTACTAGGAATCTAGTTCCCTGTGGTTACCGCAGTCTTCGTGGCGTAGTGGTAAAACACTTGCTCGACGCTTCGCAAAGCGCTTTGGCCTGGGTTCGTATCCTAGCCGGGGGAGGATTTACTTGCCATCAATCCTTAACGATTGTTCATCCAGCCTCTGTTCATCTCTGTTCTGTTCTCTTAAGTCTCTGTTCACCCAGCAGTGAATGGGTACCTGGTTGTTAAACGATTCGGCGGGTCGTATTCTGGGGAAAATTAGGATTAAGGGGGTTGCCTGAAATGCTACGTGTGCTAGTGTCTGTACAAGAATGTAACAAACTCTTGTATATTTAAATAAATACAAAATACAAAAAAATTGTTAGGAGCTATTGCATTAAATGACCAGTAGCTGATAAGACTGGGCCCAAGAGCTGGCATTCAACCCTGTAGACACAGTCCAAGTAAGCAAGTGCACAAGAGTAGAGAATATTTACAGTAAAGTACAGTATTATCAGTCCGATTCCTACATTGAAGCTCACATAATTCCCATTGTCGGGGGACAGGAAGCCTGCGCTTTGCCTTATCACTATCCCACTAGGCTAACTGCTGACCTTCCTCAGGATGCAACAACAGTTGTCTAACTCCTGGGGTACCTGTTTTATTGCTAGGTGAATAGAAGCATCAAGTTAAAGGAAACATGCCAAACCGTTCCAGTCCTGCTTAGAGATTGAATCCGGGGTCCCTCAGTTGTGAACTGAGAACATAGACTGCCATAGATTACCAATATACAGTGTATGATACTGAAATATTGAATATACAGTGTACATTACTGCAATGTACAGTATACCATACTGCACTATACAATATACAGTACTACAATGTACAGTATCCAGTACTGTCCTATACAGTGTACAGTACTGCAGTATACAGTGTATGGTACTGCAAGCTCTGCAGTATACAGTGTACAGTACTGCAGTACAGTGTACAGTACTGAAGTATGCAGTACTACAGCGCACGGTACTGCAGTATAGTGTACGGTACTGCAGTATACAGTGTACAGAACCAGTATACAGTGTACGGTACTGCAGTATACAGTGTACAGAACCAGTATACAGTGTACGGTACTGCAGTGTGTGGTGTACGGTACTGCAGTGTGTGGTGTACGGTACTGCAGTGTGTGGTGTACGGTACTGCAGCGTGTGGTGTACGGTACTGCAGTATACAGTGTACAGAACCAGTATACAGTGTACGGTACTGCAGTGTGTGGTGTACGGTACTGCAGTGTGTGGTGTACGGTACTGCAGTATACAGTGTACAGAACCAGTATACAGTGTACTGTACTGCAGTGTGTGGTGTACGGTACTGCAAGTAGAATAAGGTCTTAAGGATAAATTGAAGATTGACAGTTTTGCTTATCCTATGTAAATACTTGTAATTCTTATATAATCATTGAAATTCTTTGAGCAAATGTTCTTAAACCATTTTGAACTGATAAACCTTAAAACAAATTTAATACGAAATCAATTTTATATTGTTTTCAGTTTATGCAAGTCTTTATTGAATAGGATGAAATATTTTGTAAGTTATTGCACAAAGTGAGATACCTGGAATTTAATTAAATATTTATTGATGACTATAGACATGGCTCATGGTGCACCCAACCACGGTTGAGTGACTACCTTTTCAACTTGAAACTCCAGCTCCGGGAGAGCATAACGAATGCTGTGAATGCTCTGGTGTTCTGCCTGAAATGGCCCACAAAAATGATGTAAAAAAGTGGTCTGGTTGCATTCTGAGGCAGTGAACCTGATCGGGTGTTGTCAACGATGCCAGACTGCACCAGGTTTTTGCCACAGGATGGGGGTGGGTTGGAGGCCAGCTAGGGTGTATTTTAATACATATTTCCTAGAACACAGACCTCAGAAATAGCTACTTATTTTATTTTTGTGTTTTATCAGTGAGTGGTTCATGAACTAAAGGTATCTGGGCATTTTTAGTTTGTTTTTTAATAATAGTCTGTAATTAGTGCAAACTATTACATATATTAATTAATGTTGTGTTTGATTTATCACTAATTTTTATTTAAAAATGCTTGATCAATTTGGGCTAATAACATAATCATAAGAGTAGTGTATGTCAATAAAGATATGGGAATTTCTTTTGTTGAACAACAGCTGCATATCTTTTTGGTAACCCCAACTAAGCAAAGCGTGGGGTATGAGCAGGTGGCATATTACACCCATTTACTACCTGGTGTTGATTTTGCACACAAGGATGAACTGGATACATTATGGCTTTATTAAAATAAAGCTCTATTTTTAGTATTGCTGTACACTAATGTATTAGGTATTCCTGGTTCTTTGTTGCATAGGAGTACCTTTGGTATATTAACTAGTACAGTGTCTGTACAGTACTTCCTGCGAAACAAAGTTATTTCTATACAGGTTACTGGTGCTACAAGTTAGATGTTAGATGCTTGCTTCCAAAGGGCAATGGGAAAGGGTATTTGTATTATTCTAGAGAAACTAGTGCATCAGTGCTGAAGGTGGGCTTCTTGAGAAGAGAGTACAATATTGTTTGCATTAGCTAGTGGTTCATCCCAATGTTCTCCAGTTGGTGTCTCATTACCCTGGGCGCCAACAAATACAAAACCATAACATATGGTTGCTGTTTTCTCCTCACTGATGTCGCAATGCCTCTCGTAGACAGTAGAGGGCTTCCTATTATCAAATTTAACCATCAAGATGCCATCATAGATATTGTACTAGTTATATAGAAAATGCTCAGTACTGTACTGTTCATAAATGTGTGAACCTGGTATTAGACAAAAAGCTATTGCTTATTCCCTGTCATGGTGATAGAGTAGTTAAGCCCTCCATGCTACAAGCAGATTGCTTTCAAGCACCCATTTATAATACAAACCTAAATCAAATGTTTTGACGCGGTTTAGATACTTGGTACATCTGTGCAATTGTACTCTTAGCCTAGTGGAAGCAGATTAGATTTGGTAAGCAGATTAGAGGTAAGGGGAGACATGATAACCACCTTCAAAATTCTCAGGGGAATAGACAGGGTGGACAAAGTCAAACTATTTAGCATGGGTGGAACACAAACAAGGGGACACAGATAGAAACTTGGTACCCAAACTAGCCACAGAGCAATTAGAAAGAATTTTTTCTGTGTCAGAGTAGTTAACAAGTGGAATGTATTAATCAGTGATGTGGTGGAGGCAGACTCCATACACAGTTTCAAATGTAGATTTGATAAAGCCCAATAGGCTCCTGAATCTGTACACTAGTTGATTGATAGTTGAGAGGACCAAAGAGGCGAAGCTCAACCCCCGCAAGCACCACTAGGTGACTACTACTGTTGCTGCTACTATTACAGCATCAACTACAAATGCTTAATTGATATTAAGTAAATAAATTTAAGGGCTTTCCAGTACTGTACACACTTGGGTTACAAATAAATCCAGGTGTGAACTACTTATTGCAAAATTTATAATGTTGCAAAAGTAATAGTTTGCATTCTGTCTTAAATGGTATATATATATCAGCTTATTGAGGAAGGTATCCACTAGTCTATTAAGGCAGTATGGCATTCACAAACTTTGCAAGATATTTTTAAAAATACAAGTGCCTCAGCCTCTCTTTCACTTCCTTCTTCTCTAACTCTTCCAGACTTCCACTTCTCTGCTACCCAGAGGAGGATCTACATTTATCTATTTAAAATACAGTACTGTACAATGCAAATATTATTACTGGCATAATTATTATTTTGCAAATAAGAATTTCATACCTGGATTTATTTGTAACGTGTATTCAAAATGGCTTATGTTTATTTAATGTCAGTTCCTCTGCATTTTACTGATTTACAATACACATTCACTTGGCTTCAATTACAGGGTTTTATGTTAACTAATCATAATACTGTATGTACAATTACAGTCATTGAGTTGAAGCTTATTGGTTGAAGCCATGTTTAAATCTCTTCAGTAAACAGGCGATATTTGATGGAAAGCGTGCCATCCGAGGAGGAATTCCAGTTGTCTTTCGTAAGTATTATTACTACAGAAGTCATTTATCTTAAGAATGCCTTTCTCCAAAATACATATTCTATTGCTATTTTTTAATTTTCACTTTCTTATCTCTAATTTTCCTTTACATTAGTTCTTTAGAATTAGATTTTAAATTCATCACAAATTGCATAAAGGTTGGTAAAATATGGCATATTCATAGTTGGCACTGCACTAAGTGTGCAGTGTTTGTGACACTTGGCATTCCTCAGTTCATCTATTTTGCTTTTGCTTGACTATACTGTACTGTGTGTGGTGCTATTGCAGGATCACAGTAAATTTGCAGTGGATGCCATTCATCTTGATTGAAATCACTTAGATCATCAATTACTTTCCTCCAGTAAAGATGATATTAATGATGCTTCAGAACATTGCTCGCTTGTAGCTGAATTGTTCTTGGTTCATAGCTCATCTGCCAGGATGTCTGTACCTAGTCCTACTCTGCTCTGCTTTAAATGCATATCAGCTATTACCATTACCAGAATGCAGCTTATCTACCACCAGTATGGGGGTCTGGCAGCAGATAGCATTGATGGTTCCTTCAGACACCAATATGAAACTAGCAAGTACTGTATCCTATTGTCCTTTCTCCAGTCAAGCGTCTTGCTTGAGCTTCTTGCTCTTGCTCGTATCTATCCTTACTTAGCTGCTTTATCTCTCAAATGATAGTTATTTAGAAGGCCAGTGCCCATGGTGTGTGTGAAAAAATTGAATTGAAAATCTGTAAGGATCAATCACATATAGCAATTTGAGCGCAGGATGAAATTTTTGATAGTGATTGGAGTCGTGTAAGGGTTAAAGCAGGGGGGTCTCTAAAAAATTATTGCATCATATTCAACTTTACAAGAGCTCCTTGAATTAGTCTTTGGTTTTTAATTTTCTTACCCTTCCTTTATTTAGCCAGGTAAGACTTCATTATTTGCTTTTTTCATTCTCTGCTTAAGTCAGTTTGCTCTCAATATGCCACAATAGATTACTGGACACTGAAGCAGTTTTAGGTCTTGTTCTTTCTGTGGTACTGCAGTATATGGTGCAGTACCTGCACCATATACTATTCTATACTATTAATATTCTGTGACCTTTCCCTTAGTTCATTTTCCTTCTTGCATCTACTATTAGTAATAAGATTAGCGAGATTTAGTAATATTCATGGGATTGCTGAATTGTTTAATGTGTGTTTGACATTGTACATAAGTATGTTTGGTTCAGTATAACCAAAAGCTGCCTCACATTGGTCAATAGGCCTTTGCAGTTTCCAAAAATGTTTTGATTTATTGGTAGAGTACTGGGTTCATTTTTATAAAGATCAATGGTTATTTCTTGGCTAGATTGACTTTCTCCATTGGTGTCAACAAGATGATACTGCAAGGAGGCTTACAAACTTTGTGGCACTGCTGTTGCCTTGCTGGATTGGACAGTTGGTGTCTAAAAGACACTCTAGGAACTTGTTTGAAGGAATAGCCTAATATAGCTTGGAGAGGTTTTCACAGAATCCTAAATTTGTGTTTTTCTTCCACAATAGTCATGCTTGTTGGCAACCATGTCCAAGCAATTTACTGTCCCAAAGTTGTTGTACTGTACTAATGAAAAAATTACTTTCATCAAATGCATTATATATTCTAAATTTCTATAAAATTTAACACTGTTGGTTACTGTTGCAGCCCAGTTTGGACCCTGGAGCACTGGTCCACAGCATGGATTTGCCCGCATTTGCCGCTGGGAGCTAAAGAAGCCTCCAGAACGTTTACCTACCGGAGATGTAGAGGCTATGTTCCAGTTGCTGGACAATGAATTCACTCGGTCCATGTGGAACTATCCGTGGGTGTTGCGTTTTTATATTCTGGATTGAAACATGGATTATATCATTGAAATTTTTAAAATCTTGAAAATTTTCTGACATTAGTTGTATAGTGTTAGCATTTTGCCATTGTGAAAATGACTGCTATTAATAATGTTACATTAAAAACTCAATCAATGGGGATTCTTGTTTATAAAGACTATTTCTTTGGCAAAAATGAATATAGTTATGCTGAAAAGTTAGCCTTTTGAGTATGTAATTTTACTAGTATTTTTGTCAACTTGAAAAACAAAACGTTTACGATACCCTTATCACTCGACAGGTTCAGCTTAACGTATCGTCTCATCTTACGAGAAAAGGAACTCCACTTTAACATATCTGTTTACAACCCAGGAGCAGAGACGCTCTCCTTTACTCTTCTTCTCCATACTTACTTCAAGGTTCCTGATGTACGCCGATGTCAAATTACTGGCATGAGGGGATGCACCTATATAGATAAGGTCTGTTATCTTCTTTGGGAGAATTTGATATTAATTTTGCTGTGCTATTAATAATGACTACATCATATCATATACCTGGCTGTTGATACCTGGTTGATGGGGTTCTGGGAGTTCTACTCCCCAAGCCCGGCTAGAGGCCAGGCTTGACTTGTGAGTTTGGTCCACTAGGCTGTTGCTTGGAGCGGCCCGCACTCGAATGACTTGAAGAGATTTCAGTGCTGTTAATGTTCCAATTGTGATCTTTACAAGTTATTATCTATGTTCTTTACCCGGTTTATTTCTTTTACTCTCCAGTGTTTAGCTCTTTTGTAAGACCATTATAGTCTATTATAGATCACTCCAGTACTGACATTTTTTCTTAAATTTCCTATTAATATATTAATAGCCACCCTGAACAGAGTATCTTCAGTAAATTACCAACATTTTCTTTGGATGTTCTTTTTCAGAAAATGTCCTCAATATTCATTGTTAAAGATTGATTCTAAACATAATAGAGCATAGCACATAGCAAAAACAATTGTTCAGTCTTTACAAATTATATTTCTATTCGCATTCTTGTCTGTTCTTTACTTTGTATGCAGTGTTAATGAGAAATTTATTATACTTGATTTGTCACTTTACAATTGTTATATACTAGTGGTTATTTAATTCATTTTTTACTGCCTAACCATATTATAGTTTCTTTCATTACATTAACTTTGAGATATACACTGACTTTTAGATCACTATGGTTCATTCGTGATTTAATTTCCCCAGACCCGAGAGGGAGCTCTCTACCAGGAGCACCGTGATGTGGTAACCATTAATGAATGGACAGATCGTATCTATCAGAATACTCCTCTTGAGCACATCATCACTAATGTTGTAAGCGGCCGCAAGATGAGAATGCAAAAGTACAACCTTGTTGATACTGGTATGTATCTATATTATTTGATGGAAACCCATTAAATTTACAAATTAGAAAATGTTTAACAAAAAATGTGCATGCATGGGTGTAGAGTGCATGAACATGTTATTTTCTTTGTAACAGGTTAGCCTTTCCATAGTACTGTATATAGGTTTTCAAAGATATTCTTCAGAATCATAATTATGAGGGAAGAAATTTTGTATACTAGTGTAATTATGATAAAATATTGTTATGCCTCAGCCCAAAAGAGGGAGCAAATGCTTCTGTAGTTCAGGTGTGTGTTGGTATATTCATATATAATTGTGTAAATGACCGGAACACAACGTTGGTCATGACCAAGTTGCAAAATTACTGAATTCCTCAAGCTTTTCATTATGAGCATTGCGACTGTTTCACTAGTTTGCCAGTTTTGTTATTATTTGCTCACTATTAGCTATTCCTAGTTAGAAAAGCTATTCCTATTGCTAAAAAAAACAAATAAGTTGGAAAGTTGCACAGAATTATACTAGACTATTCACGTATCCACCCACACCAGGGTCAGGATGGCAGTAGAGCAGCAATTTGAACAAAAGTTTTAAACAAAAGTAAAGGCCCACCCAAAGCCTCTTGCATTGTTACATACGAAGGAAAATGGCAAATCTTGTGATGAGGTGGAGAAAATGGGGGGGAACATTATAGTAGTCCCTGGAGAGATGAAGTGACACATGCAGCAATTAAACATAAAAACAGTAATAATTGTGGTTCACCACAAATGTAAAGTGCTTTCCTGAAAGAACACTGGGATCCACTTTCTGGTCTCATTGGGGCTAACCATTACCCCCAACTTTATGTATAACATTATGTGGTTCATAATGTCATACATAAAAAATATATAGTTACCAGACTAAATAAAATTCTGTATATGACCTCCATAGATTCTGAGCAAAAAGGTTAGTATCATAAATGGTCATAGATAACAATTCATGCAGCCTACTTTAGTATCTTGACCAGACCACACACTAGAAAGTGAAGGGACGACAACGTTTCTACTGTAGTATCCATGGTGATACTAAAACAGGCTGCAAGAATTGTCATGCATGACTATTATAGAACTAATCTTTTCAATACAGCTCTCAGAATGGATACAGAGGTCATATACAGAATTTTATGTATTGCATTGTAAAGCACATACAATGCAATACATAAAATACCATCTACCTACCATCTTCATGATACCATCATGAAGATGGTAGGGGAAAGGTTTGTCCCAATGGGTTCAGAAGGTGGATTCCAATATTCCTTTTGGTAAACGCTTGACATTTGTGGTGAACTAGTTACACATATGAGGAATCAATAATTATAGGCATAATTTATTATTTTATTTTGTGTAATTTGATAAAAAGAGGTATAAGAAATTCTTGCAAATAACATATTTAAATTGTCTGAATAATTAAGTCAATGTGCTTGAAATTCCAATTTGATTTTTGTTTATGTAATGATACAAAGAAAAATGGCAACTATTGCCTACCAAGACTTTATAGACAATTAACATTAACATCTGTACTTTTTCATGCCATCCTGCCTGTTCGTATAAAAATATTATGCCATAGGCATTTATTTTTTAAAGTAAATATTGATGGGAATATAATATTCCTGAGGGGGTTTAAAAGACTACTTGACTTTATGGTGAACCACAAGGAGTGCAAAGCATTTTTGCATGAAATATAGGCTAAACTCCATGTTTTAAAAACTAGAAACAAAGCCATATGCAGTATTTGCTTGTACTGGACACCAGGTCTTGGGAAGCAGTGGAATGCTTATTTGAATGAGTGGTGGAGCATGTTTATCTGTGATGCTATATAGTGTGAATAAAACAAATGGATTTTATATTGATATCATTTAATTGTTTTCTCTGGGCGACATAGAATTGACTTTCATAGTAGTATACTGTAGATTGCTGCATGGTAGTAGAAGTTGATTGTGCTGTGTAATTATTTGAAGAATATGTGAACCTGACTATATTCTGTATTTTACTTAGATATAGCAAAGGGTTTAATTATCTGTTCAGTGTTTTAGAGTGCAAGCAGTTGGTGATGCCTGAAACCAACTCGGCCAACTCTTGACTTGCATTTCCTTAGATATCGTGGTTGTTCCTTGTTCATTTTTAATTGTTTAAAAGCTTGGAAGCATTTTGAAATGCTTGGTTAAGAATCTGCCTGTGGCTATTCTCTCAAAGATTGGGAGATACCAGAGAAAACAATTTATCAAAAATTGTAAATAATGAGTTAACATGATTTTAATTTTTTTTCCAGTGGTATGGAATCCATGGATTGAGAAAGCCAAAGAGATCCCAGATTTTGGGGAGGAGGAATTCCCTAACCTGGTGTGTGTAGAGGCAGGTCACGTCTCTGCTCCAGTCATCCTTCCACCTGGAACTGTGTTCGAGGCCAGTCAGATCCTGCAAGTCATGTAGAATGTTATGGCACACCGTTGACTAAATAATAGTAAGACCCACAAGTGGAAGGCAAGAACAGATTTGGAAGTATTTTAATGCTTGAATTCTTTGACGGTCATCAGTTCTTCCAAGCATTGAAGACTGATGTCAAATATATAACGGTATGTCTTAGCTTGTGAGTTTTATTATTGTAATTATAGTTTAGCGATCTGTTCATCCATGTCCATAAACTGTGAATGGATAAGAAAGGTCCAAAATTTAAGAGGTTCTGTAAGAGGCAGTTTAAACTATCCTTTAGGGAATTTGATATTGATAGATGTCAGTGTGGCTGTAAGTGTGAAGGAAGAAGTGTACTTGACGTCAGCAATTAAATCAATTTTTTTTTTAACTGAAGTACAGTGCAGTATGTCTATAAAGGAAAGAAGCAACACTAGTGCATAAGTTGGCTAGAGAATTGGTTTTAATGTGCATTTTCAGGTTGTGAAAGGTGTTAAAATTCATGTGGCATTTGATTCTGGATGGCTATGTTCACATGGATCTGTTCTTAATTGTGTTGTCATTTGTTATATGATCATGTTTGTTCTTTTAATGTTGATACCTGTGAGCATCCAAGTGGCTGTAGCACATGCCTGCTCAAGCATGTGCTACATGTGTTCATTTGAAGTTATCCCAGAATGGAGCGAATTTATTGATTATAATATATATATCATGGTGCTATGAGTGTTGTGTGTGATTGGGAGCCTTTTCATAGCAATTTCAGTATAACATGTTCATTATAAGCAAACCATGACAAAAATTGCAATACAGAATAGTGGTCTTGTGTATCTCACTAAAAGTTAATTGATTATAGAGTCCAGTAAGCTGATCCATGCTGAATATTATACTTTTGATCTCAAGTGTAGCATTAAGAAGTTAAGAAAAGGAGTTAACTGTATCCAAAAATGTAACATTATAATTGGGTGATTCACAGCATTTATCATGGTTGTCATGAGTTTCATGGTATTTGTGCCCCAATTGCAAAACCAAAGTTTTAAAAAAGGAAGATTAAGACAGGGTGACAATTTCTTAATTAATGGTGTTTGTATTTTGTAGGTTGTTTGTTGTAGTATACTTGCTACTAACCTAGTTATTGATACTGTAGACAAGAATTGCTTTTGCATTCTGTAATGGTGCATAATTTGAGTGCTAAAGGGTTGCTAACTATTATGGAATAGAGGATGATTTGTAGTTGATATTCTTGAGCTTTCTAATATTGTTAATTACCCAGACCTGGGTAGCATGTGGCTTTACTTCTCCAGTTTTAGGAGATGTTAGAAAAAAACTATTTTTAGTGTTTACATTTGAAGTTTTTATGAAGAAATATTTGCCAGCCTTTGGACAGTCATAATTTTGTTTTTATAGGTAATGTCATATTCATGCAACATAGCTTTTTTAGTAGGTTATCAGAAGATGCATCTTCACAATACTGGGTAGACTAAACTTGCAACAGATGCATGTAAAAGTAAATTTTAGAATATTTTATGAGGGCTGTTATATTAAAGTTTGTTTATTACCATTTTGACTTATGTACAGTGCTGTAATGTTGTTGAGGTAGCTTGTAGATAGCATTTTATTCTAAAGCTTGTTTTGCACAACCCATGAAATTTGACAATTGTTAGAACTATTGGAACTACAGTAGATGCTTTTTCAAAGCATTTTAATTTTGCCTGAAAACAAGCATTATGTAAATTTCAAAATATTTAGTTAATTTAATTTTGACAGGAATTTTCTATGGCACATTACATTATTGATAGGGAGAGTTAAGTGTGAGAAGAGGGGGTGTAACTGGCCATTATTACTATGGCTAGTCACTGTTATCCAGTGGCCTAAGTGAATGGCTAAGAAATATTGGAAATTTAGCTAACTTTAGCCTCTCAGGAGAATTGTATTTCTCACTGAGATAATATTTGTAAGTAGTTAAAAAAAATGAAAATCTAAGCCATATTCACAGCTCTTCTGGTATTGTAATTTTTTGTAATGCATTCCGAATTTGTATTTCTTTTAAGATGTTTTATCTTGATATATGAATTGTTTTTAATGCCCTTTTTTCATAGTTTAATATTTAATTCATGTTTCTTATATCTTTATTTTATATGGTCATATATCATGTATTAATGTTGAATTTCACACCATGATATTTTCCTTAATGTTTATATAGTGGAAATTTGAACTTCAAAATATAGTCATTAAATGCTAAATGTCTTTAAAAGTCTCCCTTGTTTTTATGGCATTACAATACTTGCATAAATAATATGCACCATTTAAACTTTTGTAAATTAATTTTGCTAAGGTAAAAGCTGTACCTTAATGATGCTTGAGTGAACAGCAATTTATAACGTTTGATTATAAAGATTATAAGTAAACACCCATTAATTCAAGTAATTATCAAAAGAAAATGCTAAGCCATTCTTGCAGAATATTCCAGAGTTCTTGAATCATTCAGGATGTCAATTTCACTAGGACCTAGGAATGTGTGACAGTACAATAAGTAGAACATTGCAGCTCGATGAAAAGCCTACGAGTTAATCTCGTGTGGTCGCTTTGTAACCTGGTTGGTGATTTCTTCCCCCACTTATTCCAGTAACATTTGATGGTATGTAATCAGTTACTCTTCTAATGGTTATCAATCTAATTATGAATGACAGGCTAAATGTATTTAAATAATAGACTTTTGGGAGACTTTACAGGAATAAATTTTGCTTTTTAGCAAAGAAGTCTTCTAGATTATGGGAGGCAACACCAATGTGATTGGGAACCTAGCAAAATTTAACTGTGATGTCTGCTAAAGATGAGGTGCAACCATTGTTGATCTTCCATCACCACAGGATGAGAAGGGCTAGACTTCAGCTCTTCTGAAAACTATACAAATTATGGTAATGCTAGTTCTATAGGAACATTGCACCCTTACTGTATTGAAATTTTGAGTTTTAACAAAATTTCCCAAAAATGTATCATTTTCTTCAATAACTTTCATTAGCATTATCACAATTTGATATGTAATAAAGGAAAAAATTATAAATGTTAGAACTGCATATTTCGTATTATATTTGGCACAAGAAAATGGTAACTCATTATTTACACCATGAGAATTGAAGCAAATATGAAATTAGTTTGGCATATCTATTTTAATGGCAAATATAGTAGCTACAAGTATAATTTAAATATTAACTCTTGAAAAAGTAAATGATAATTAGTTATGTTTTTCTATTAATTTCTTAGAACTCTTGTAGTTGTGTTAAGTCAAAAAGAGATGCTCAATCAGGAAACCCACAAGTATGCTTAAAGGAAATGCTAAATATATGCACTGTTGCTGTTAGGAATGGTAATATTAATTTACAATAACTGACACATTATATTAATTAATAGAACATAGAGACAGAGTGGTAACACACTCCATGTCATGTAAGCAAATTCATCTGGGTTAGAATCCTGGTCAGGGAGGATTTGCAATGTCAATCTTTTAATTGTGCCTTGAGGACCTGGTTGTAAATCAATCAGCAGGTTGAGTTCCATTGAAAATAGCTTGGTAATACTGTATGAAGATCAGAAATAAATGCCATCTTACTGTGATATGCTTTGCTTTATATTAAAAGAGCACACAGCACTTACGAGGAAGAAGGTAATAGACACTCTTCTAACTGGCGATGGGAAACGGCTCTGGCGAGGTTGTGTATTGGCCATACTTGCTTAATTCATGGTCACTTGATGGAGTGCTGCCCTGCTCCTTATTGTCCTAATTGCAGTGTCCCTCTTATGGTTGTGCATATCCTTGTTGAATGTCCTGACTTCCGGGACGAGTGTGTGTCTTGTTTTCCGACAGTCTCCCGCAGTCGCTTGTCCCTCGATAGTATTCTTGGTGACTCGGATACTTTTGACATCGTTCACCTTATGAGTTTCTGTTCTCGTATTGGTTTCCTTGGTGATATTTAGTGCCCTCTGATTATCCCTCACATTTGATGGGGCTACATAGCCTTCCCGGTTTGGTGCCTTCTTTTGATAATTACTTGAGACTCTTCTTCACTTTCACTGAATGCAAAGTACTCTAGTAAACAATCATGAGTTCAACACTAACAATTATTCAAGCATGTTAACACCCATAAATAATAGATGAATATTGAGGCTGTAAAACTGAACGTACCCACGAACTTGATTTAGGTCATCAGGGGTACAGGTTTGATTCCATCATAGTCTATATTTATTCATAGTTTTATCTCGTTATTGTGATTTTCATTGTACCCATTAATGGGATAATGCTTAAAATAAAAAATTAAATGAAGGCCAAAAGAAGCTAGATACCCAAATACAAATACCCCGTACATGATTCATACACAGCAACACCAAAGTGTAAATGATATATTAAAATGAATATTCTAGCTCTAATTCTTCTGTATTTCAAAGTATTGCTGCAGCATTAAGTAACTACACATGTTATTAATTTGAACTTCATATTTTCAATGCAAATACTAAAATTTGCTATCTTGACATTGGACATCTTTCAAATGCATTTCTGGAAAAGTATTTTCATAGTACAAATTGTTTATCTGCAAATTACATTTACAGTCATTCCATACTTCATTATTTATATGGTAACCATCATATTTGTTGTGTGTTTTGGCCTTTGTGTCAAGTCTCAAGTATTCACTGAAGAACAAAGTTAATAAAAATTCTTGTTCATGAAAAATAGAGCTTTAAAAATCTTGTGGTAAAGTATTTGCATTCCAATTTCTTCATATCAATTTTGTGGACTGATTTTTTTTTAGTATGAAAAGGATCTGTAGGGTTAAGAGAGCACAGATGCCCAGAGGTTAAGGTTAAATAATTATGACATACCCAGAAAACAATGATTTTGAACAGACATATCACAGGTTAAAGTGCTAGGAGACTAAAAATTCATCAATATAGTCAAAATTCTCATTGAGTATTATAAGCAAGGATTAGTTAATATAACACTCAAAATTAAATTTTTATATTAGAATAGCAATTTATCACAACATAACCAGTTAAATATAACATACAATTTTTTTATTTTTTTTTGGAAAATGAATGTGCAGTTCACTGTAGTATACTGCACTTAAGTGGAAATAATAGGCTATGATAAATACAATATATATATATATATGTTCTATGAAATTCTTGATATTGAACAAATAAAAATGCCTTGTATAGCTCAGAACACCTTTAAAAAATTTCATTACATGCACGGACATTTTTAAGATTAACAAACAAGAAATACCCTTTTGTTTGTATACTAGGTCGAGTACAATGTTCACTTGATAAAGATGGATGTCAGTCTAGCATTTTTGTGCAAAGAAATGGTACATATAGGCTCATGAGAGCTAACAATTTTAAGGAAATTGTTCAGTAACCATGGTATTTAACTGGCATACAAATGGAATACTTTGCTTTGGATATGGTTATAAGAGGTTGAGGCAGTTTGCTGTTAAGTATTATTCATAAAAAGTTGGAGAAACAAATGAAACATTGAGTAAAGGTGTCCTGAGCAATGTAAAACAATAAGACCAATGTCCGTAGTTGTCTTTCATGTTTTAAACACAGACTGAATACTTGAAACAATCCACTGGAAGACCATGATGACCAGTAAAACCAAGAAATATGCACTGCATAGGGTACCTAACAAAATAACATAAAATAAAAATGAAATTTGTTCCTTGAAAAACACAGTTGCATGTTGAATACCCAGAATATTTACAGTACACTCTACTGTACATTAATGACAGCAAGAGCTGCCATCTAATCTGTCAGCATTCAAGGGGTCCTGCATTAGGTTAATAATAATTGCACCTCAAATGATTTAAATCATAATAAATACCACTCTCAATACACACTGGCAAGATCCTTTACATCAAGTGATACTGGCTTTTAACAAGTACTTTACATTTTTTATGCAATAATTTGTATTAACCCTTAAAAAGTATGGCTATCATAATTGCTACCTCGCCTAGATGAGGGGAGGGGGGGAATTTTCTACTTTCGTGTACAGGAGGAAGATGGGTGATGGTCACAAAATGTGTAGTTGCTGACACAGTGGTGAAGGGGTAGAGGACTTGGATGGCTTTTATGTTTGTTTCTTCACTTTACTTTAGACAATGTTACAAATAATTTACAGAAGTGACTGAATACCATACATAGACTTACAATGCAATATGTATAGCTACATTGCACATAAACCTATTTTTGCCACAGCTCAAAGGAAGTGTCTCGCAACTAACTCCATTGCTGCTGTTCTGTCTTTGAATATAAGCCAGCAATAGATTCAAATGCCAATGGTGAAAGCCAAGTTCTGATTTGAAGATAATTATAGGCCACTAGTACAAAATCTCATCACCTATAAAGCAATAACAAAACAATAACAAATTGTTCAGGAGTCTAGGTTAACTCCATTACCCCCATATAGATGTACTATAGCCATATTCACATACAGTAATTTGTATACAAAACCAGGACAATGTCTAAAATTAGCAAATGATGAAAACCAGTGGCCTAGATCAACATATGAAGGCAACCGCTTTTTAAGGGTTGAAACAAAAAATTCTGAATAGTATTAAGAATACTAAACATTATTTGTAATACAAAGATACACAAATTTTTGCACATGCCAAGTAGATTACAAAATTATTTTGTAAAACTTTTTACAACCCAGTACAGTGTACGCCATCAGCTACACATATATTTGGACCTTGTTTGGTTACGTAATATTATTTGGTGATGTAACAACATGCAAGGTTAAAGTTCAAGGTCTCAAATCCAAAAGAAAATAATTAAATATAATATATAGCAAACGTGGTTAAATATTTTAATTAACCCTACCTAACAATACTCTCCACTGATTTAAATATAAATACTGTTTCTAATCAATAACTGTCATACAAAATTTCTAATTCAATCACTAATGACTTTTCTTTAAATACAATAGCATTATACAAAAATTTACCTTCAAACTGCAACCCTACCTACTTTACAATTATTGAGTGCAATTTTTGTCCCACTAACAATAAACCTTTGAAATCATAACAAACACACAACATAAAGACATGTACAGTACATCAAAATGAAAAAAAACATAAAAGTCAATCACCATTTGGCTAGAGTTTGAGGTTGAGAAGAATCAAATATCTGGCTAAAGTTTGGTATTAGCCATCAGCCTGAGAAGGATCAGATTCCATTTGGCTAAAGTTTGCTATTAGCCATCAGACCAAGAAGGATCGGATACCATTTGGCTAAAGCTCGCTATTAGCCATCAGGCTAATAAGAATCAGATAGCATTTGGATAAAGCTTGCTATTAGCCATCAGGCTGAGAAGGACCAGATACCATCTGGCTAAAGTTTGGAATTAGCCATCAGGCTGTGAAGGATCAAACATACAGATGCACTTTGGGTTCCAATAAAGCCCTGACTTATGGTATACCAGTGTCCATACATATGGAATGAAAAATTCCTCAGGCTCATTTTCCTCTACATATTTGAATTTCAACTCTGGGAATTTTTTTAAACGGTCTTTCGGTAAATGAAGCACACCTTGCTGAATCACTTCCTGCGGGGGAAACCATTGAATTCATAAATATTCATATATTGTACTTATAATTACAATTAAAGTATTGTGTGTATATATATATATTTTAGTAATATTTGTGGATAAGAAAATCTTAAAATTCCTAAAAAAATAAATATATTGTTAGAGGCATGCTCAGTTCTTATATTCAGGTCTGGTGGTAGATTCCTGGAATTCATTGTATATAAAGGACTGATAAATAGCATGGGGACTCTTAAAAAGTATGGAGGAAAAGCTTGGACACAAGTGACATCCTGCAGATATTGCCTCACTTCACATGGGAGGTATTAAAGCATTGGCAAAATTACAGACTGGCCAGATTAACATCAAACATTATTAAGGTTTTCGAGAGGGTGCTAAGAAGGTAACTTACTGCATTAACAGAAAAGTGAGATTTACAATCCAGGTAGACATGGTTTTAGAGCTGGAAGATCTTGTCTATTTTGATCATTACAATAAATTTATGAAGGTACTAGAAGCAAACCAAAATGCAGATGTTCTATACACAGATTTTGCAAAGTGTGTTTGATGACTGTAACCATGGAATACTAATAATGTGATAGCTATGGGAATAACAGGTTAAGTAGTGAGGTGGATTTTAAGTTTTCTAAAAGAATACAAAGTATGCCAATAAATCAAACAAAATCCAACCTAAGCTGGATTTTTGTATGAGGGTGTCCTAGAAGGTATAGTCCGTGCATTGTTACTTTCCGCATCTTACAAGATAGACAGAAATATTACGATCAGATACAGCATCAACAAGGTCTTCCAATATTCATCAGAAAGCAATATTATGTTCAACAGTGATAAATTACAATTACTTCAGTGCAGAAAACACCAGAAACTTAAAAAGAGTACGAGATATAAGATCGTCAGATCTAGAAAAGAAATGAACAAGTCGAAGACCTTTGGAATAATAATAATACACTGTACTGTAAATTTACATACAATATACTACTGTTGAAATTCACTCGTGATCTTCAAAACTTGATACTATACCTACGGGAATCTGCATACACATGTACCACCAAATCTAGTCTCCAATACTGCACACATCAATGGCTGCCTGTAATGCATATCTTGTTCTGTGAAGGTAAGCAATTTTCAAAATGTGCTTTAATATTAAACTGAATTCTCAACTTAGCAGAACAGTTACATAATACAGTAATATTTCTACTACATACCTGCACGTCTTGGACTCCAGGATCTCTTTTAGTTGTCTCCAGACGACCCATTAGATATGAAAGAACCGTTTCTATATTTTGTGTCACATCCTGGAAATTGGGATGTGTCGAGAAGGGATGGAAGAGATGTCGTTTGTAAAGCAGCGTGTAAACCAAGTTGTGGTTGTGGGCCAATTGGTGAGTCAAGACAGAATTCAAAATTTCCAAAACCATGCGGAGAACTTCTTCCAGGACACTAACATCACTCAGCTATGTGAGAAAACACAAGAGTATTATCACTAGAAATCACTATTATTAACATTACATTAACTATTATTATTACTATTATTATTAATCACTACATTAACATTTCACAAAACCTCCCATGAGACTAACTGAACTTTCATCACATAAAATAAAAAAAAGGCACTAAATATGTAGGAAACATTCAAGGCATGATAACTAATGGATTTGAATTGTGCATATGTCATAATACTGGGGAGAAAACGATACAGAATGAAGTCGTTTAACAAACTGATGAAGCTAACTTACAGCATCTGGCATGTCATTCTCAGACTCTTCAAGAAGATCTTCGGCCATTTTGATTGTCTCACACAGACGGGCATGTCTCTTGCTAAGGGTTTCAAACAGACTAACAAGACGCTGACACACATATGGATGGAGGGACCTGAACTGGCTGGACATGTTGGCCAGGGCAGCTAAACAGTTGGTATGCAGGTATTTGTCCTATTGAAAGGGCACTTAGAATTATTCATCATATGTATCTTGTACAAGATAACAAAAAATTGCATACTATATGATACAGTTCTAAGACACATTCTGAGTTTCACCCAATCAGGGTGAAAGAAACTGCCCATCTGTTTCCGCCTCCTCCGGGGATCGACCCCAGACCCTTGGACTACAAACCCTGAGCTATGTCCACTCAGCCATCAGGCCCCCATGTGGCACAGAACATAGAACAGGTTGGAAACAATGGCCCAATATGCATAATGTGTGTTTGGAAAGAGGGCAATAAACTTTAAAATAAGGAATCTACACAGGAATACAGCGATATGAATACAGTAATGACAATCCTTTACAATCATAAATAATTAATAATTTACAATCATAAATAGAGGTGTGGCTGAGTCAAAGGTACAAACAGACATATCTGATATGTAGAGAATGATGGGAGCCAAGTGAAATTCCTGAATACTTCAGAAGTAAATCTTCAGAGGTAAGCTCTGCAGGACAACTGAAGTAATTCAAAATATTAAGGGAGTGAATGTTTAAGAAAAAATCTATTATAATACAGAATAACCTTGAAACCAATAAAAAACTAACATTATGATATCTAGTTGTAAGATTACAATTTACAAGTACAATACACCCAAAATATATGGTAGGTTGGTAGGGCTTTCATATCATTGGTGCTTATTTTTAAGGCTTTATATTAGATATTGTAGGGTGTAATCATAATTGTACAGCTAAAATCTGAATATACATGTTAGGCAATCAGTGTTGTACAGATGAAATTTGAGCACATAATTTGAAAAAAAAAAGAAGTCACTGAGGAAATTTAGTTAAAAGAAAGAATTGAGTATGGTAAGTACAACTTGTGATAAAAACAAAGGAAAGACCCCTTTTTTACTTATACACGGTATCTCGCAACTCACCCTCATTTTAGTCATGTTGTAAGTTATAGTTCTGATGACAACGAGGATGAGGAGGCCACCAAGAGATATGTCGCTAATAAGCCGCTCTGTGTACCAGGTGATGTTCTTTAGGGGCTGTGAAGACGAGAACCATATTATTCATCACATCATTATCATCATCATCATCATAGGGAGGGAAGGAATCCAGGGGGAAATATTGTAAGTGTAAAATATTCAGTGCCATCTGATCTTTCTTAAAACCTACTACACTAAGTAGAATTTTGGAATCTAAGATGCAAGCAGTACTTTATACTATTTTACAGATTAGGTGCTGAATACATCAGTATCATTTGGGCAATCATTCATACTCTCAAGATAAGGTGCTTCCACTGAGTCCAATTCATTGTCCACATAATGTGGTATCCACACGAGTATCACACTTTCTCATCAGCATCAACCATACCTGTCCTTCCTACTGCATTCTCCTCCTCCTGCCCTTTATATACATGAGCCATGAGCCCTTTATACACAACTTTCATCTATCATTCAATCCAAATGATTATATCACTGCAATAAAAATAATTCAATGCTATACATTAATTTCTTACTCAAGTTGAAGTTTATTCTATGGAAGTCCAGATGCAACGCAAGAAATAAGATCACAGCCATACCTTAACTGTCAGAATAAGCAACAATAAATTTAAAAGAAGCTTTATTTTCATATTAAAAAATGTCTTTCTACCATGTACCTTTAACATAAATATGCAAAAATACAAGCTATATCACTTTTAACAATACACACACACATTATGAAATAGTGAAACATATATACATATATATACTGTATAGTCTATAAAATCATTACTTACAATATCATGAATTGTTTTGTTGAATGAATCATCTTCCGAGAGAATGAGTAGTATGATAAGTGACATATAGATGTGATGAGAGGTGCTGTCAGGGGCATGGTAGAGAGTATGGAGGATTGGAAGAATTAAACTCTCCATGTCTGTCCGGGATAGCACATAGGTGCGGAAATCCTCATTCTTGTGAAGGAGGAGATACAGGAGCAGCGTTGTTTGGTCGTCATGCAGGTGAATATATAATGTCTTGTACAATGTGGCAAACTCTAATTTGAATGTTGCAGCTGCTTGCGTTGGTGTGCTCTCTGCAGGATCTGCAAGACGATTCTAGTTAATTATATGTCGGCTACAAAATATATAATTTTTTTAATACAAATATTTTGATACCATAATACTGTACAGTGCTACAATTTGTTAAGTGTTCACTCGGCTACAAATGAATATATATGAAAAACTTCAAATCAGTACGCTCAATTGCTCCATCATGCATCTGGTTTTGTCTGTTTTGTGATAAGGATCAAAAAATTAACTAGACATGTAAGTTTGGGAACCAGGGCTGAACTGGTATAAGAAAGCTAACAAAAACACAGCCAAAAAGTTATCCAGCTACCAAAGGTTTGTCAAGAGCAACTGAACAAGAAGAAACAGAAGCCATATCTCACTGGATTCAAGGGAGATGCTGTGCATCCATCACAAAAGCATGGTGCACAAGGGACAAAGTCACACAAACAAGGTGGTGGTGGTTCTACGTGGATGCAAACAAAACCACACAAGGAACACTTAATATACTGGAAGCCCACTCAAAGGAGACCATGACCTGCTTCTGCAAGGCCCCTGATCAAAATGGTAAAGGTCAATTTGCATGTGCATTCGATACTCCATGACAGTGGACTGCTGGGAGGACTGAAGCTCAAGAAGCCACACGAAAATTAAAGTCCTGTGCCCAAAGCTTCAATGAGACTGGGAAAGCCAAGAAAATATAGCATCTGGAGCTAGGTTACCAAGACCTCTGGCCCACAGCAATGTGGTGTGGGCCAGAAGTCCACACCACATTGTGGTGTACCCAGAGAGCTGGGGTTAAACAAAGCCGATTGCACCCTTATGAATGAGCAAAGAAGTGACCAGATGTATCCTAAACACAACAAATGTGCAACACAAGGCACTAAGCCAAGTAGTGTCAAATGCAGTAGGATTTTGAAAATTAGCAAACCTGCTAGTATACAAGCATCCAGGCACAGAAAAGATTATTCTGGCCAACCAGTCTGATGAAGTTAAAAGACTTAAGGCTGGCTTCAAGGTGCTACTACATTGAGAGTGAAATAGGAAGACCAAGCAAAGGCCATAGGCAATGCTAGATTACCAGGCAGACATGCACAATACCATGGCAGAAAATTAAGCACCCACATTTGAAAATAAAGGAAATCATGACATTTTGGTCCATCCTAGACTATAATGAAGTGGCATAATAAAAAAAAAGTGGTAGAAAAAGTCAATACATAAAGGAAGAATGTGAGGTGAAAGACAACAAGAAGTAAACCATGGGAGTTAACAGGCATAATGAAAACTGCAGAAAGCCTAATGATGAAGAGAGAGAAATGAGACAGCAACAGAAGAGAAAGAAAACGAAAAGAGGAGCTAAAGCTATGTCAGATCATGTTTGTTAAGAAGGTTAGAGCATTTAACTATGTACTAAGATAGGCAAGAGTCAACAGCACCACAGCCAGGGCTAAGGTTCATGTTGGGTATCTTGTGTATAACAGCAAGTTCGACAAGATGGCATCATGTGAAGAGTGAAGACAGGAAAGATTATTTTAGAAGACCAACCCATAGGATGATTAGAATCCCTAACTTAACAGAAGAGAGCATTATTCGTATCTGCAAACTTAACATTTCCTTTGTGTTCTTTTAGTCTATCAACAAGAGTATGGCCAGTTTTACCAAAGTATTGGAGAGAACAAGAGGACAGGAAACAGAACAAACAAGATACTCCAACTTGACTGCAACAGATACAAACCAGAGTTGAATATGATCATACCTTTGGAAGTAACCGAGTGGAAGAGTCTCACAAATGTAAAAATAAAGTATGTACGTAGTAGCTTCTGCATGAAAATGTAGAAGATAGTCAGCCTTACTCTGAATACACACACATTTGCTAGAATCAAATTTAAAATCACAAGAGCAACAGTCAAATGAGAGCTACAAGCATTAAACACCATTGTATAAATAACTAAACTTTTATATACACACACCATGGAAGTTCTGTGCATGCAGTAGTGCTTGCCGGTAAGGATTTCTTGTAGTACGATCTGCGGTATAGTGGTTGGCTAGCACCAAAAGCAGCAGCACACTCTGTGATGCTAAAGGAGACTCGGGACCCTTTTTAATAGACTCCTCTCCACTCCCAACTAATCCCAAGGTCAAAACATTCCATAGTCCAGCTGTAGAATAGATAGGAAAATTAATTCAAGATTACTGTATTCAATATAGTGCACCTCAAAAATCATGGCCACAATCGGGGGTCCTAGGTTCGATTCCTGGGTGGGACAGTGTTAGGCACGTTTTCTTTTACCTAATCCCTCTGTTCACCTAGCAGTAAATATGTACTCAGGAGTTAGGCAACTGTTGTGGAGTTGCATCATGGGGATGTATGTGTGTTATTACCAAAGTGTAGTTACAGTATGAGAGCTACCCGCTAGTTGTGTCCCGTCTTCCCAGCACTCTGTCATATAACATTTTGATACTATCGATGGTTTTGGCCTCTACTACTTTCTCACTTAACTTATTCCAACCATCTTCCACTCTGTTTGCAAAAGAAAACTTTCTAATAATTTTTTGGCACTTTTGTTTCTTAGCTTGAATTTATGACCTCTTGTTCTTGAAGTTGCCAGTTTCAGGAATTCCTCTCTGTCAATTTGGTCTATTCCTGTTATTTTTTTGTAAGTGGTGATCATATCACTTTTTCTTCTATTTTCTAGTTTTGGCCTATTTAATGCCTCTAGGCATTCTTCATAACTCTCGTCTTTCAGTTCTGGAAGCCATTTTGTAGCATATCTTTACATCTTTTCCAGTTTATTATGTGCTTCTTGAGATATGGGCACCATACCACAGCTGCATATTCCAATTTTGGTCCCATAAATCATGAACGATTTCTTTAGTATTTTATTAGCCATGGTGAAATACTGTACTAAATATTCACACACACACTACGTACATTCGTGGTGTATGTAATGTCCAGCATGGTCTGACCTATATATAAATACATATATTTATACAGTATATAGTTGTAAGAGATGCTGAGTATGAGAGCCAAATCATGGACATCTCTGCTGGAGTGAGCATGTAAGATCATCATAATTGTGTGTTACAAAATAATAGTCTTAATTATTAATCGCCAAATGAAAACCACATTATGGCAAAAATCATGCTGTACAAAAGCACTTTACACAGGGGCTAATGGGGCAGATTGAAATAAGGCAAGTAACTCTTAATTTAAATATAAGATAAGACCTTTACAGAGAAATCCATGAGAAAGTCTTTGGAGCAGGGCAATGGAAATGAACTCGCATCCTGAGTCACCCCAATGTACATATTGCCCACTGGACCCTGATGTGCTTAAAAGTTACAACCTGAAATTTACCTGAACTTATAAGGAGTTTGAAGGCACTGAGCTGAAACTCAAATCCAACTTTTACATATTACCCGCAAACACTCAGGCGTAGAGAGTGAAGCTCTCCACCAAACAGTCCTGCCAAATATAAGTTTGATTTGGCAACTCCATGCTCCAAAGATTTTGTCAAAGATATATCATTCTATTTCGAGATTTTCATTATGCTGAAAGTCATTTTCCTCTCAAGCATACTCCTGGCAATAAATCACAATATATGTCACATTGTGTTTAAACTTAACATTTAATCAAGGAACAATGTTGCAGTCTGTAAAAATAGGAATACAACATACAGGCTAACCCAAGTACGACGCTGCCACCTTCATCTTTAACAGGAGGCTTGTCTTGAGCCATGAATCGTTTCAACAAGGTTTTGACAAACAGACAGGCATGAATGGAAGCACGGCCAGTCATCAACATTCTGTAACAAATGCAGAAAATAAAACTTAATAAGAACCACGCAGAAAAATTACCCCAAAGGAATTTTATAATTAACAAAACCAGCTTCGAGCATGGTGCAAAGCTTTCTCCCGAGTGTGGCACTTAGTTGTTCCATAAAGCAAAATTCTGGTGGTTCTATGGGCAGTATCTGCTACTAACAGCAAACTGACACACTGCTCTAGCTTAGATGATAACTTTTCAGAATATTCCCAGTAGGTCATATACGTGTTAAGGAGACATTGAAGAATACTCACCATTTCAAAATGTCTTCTAGGTGGTTTATTCCAACCAAATCAAAATGCCTTCTAGGTGGTTTATTCCAACCAAATCAAAATCCTTCCAAACACTATTTGGACTACTGAATGGCCCACCTAGCTGTAACCCTTCAAGCCAACAAATGGTAACACCTAAACAATAATAGGTAATAAATTCATCAGGCATAAAAGGCTGGATCTCACTCCAAAATAATACCGAGATAAAAACCATCAAATCACCAGGATCTTGCCGTGCTTGACCCGGATACAAGGGCCTCAATGGCTCCCTGATCCTCCCCCACCTCTTCCAGGTGTATCATTTGCTGGTCTTAGGCTCCAGACTAACTAGTGACGACATATGAACCAGCAGCTCCCGGAGTGCTGCCATCTGGTGGTGGCCAGCTGTAACTGGGTGGGTTCAAACTAACTACTGGGTTGTTTGCAGAGTTGTTTGTTACTTCATTTCTCTTTTATATATGACCTTTTTAGCTTTACTTTGCTTTGTTTTCTGAATGTTTTACTTAGTGAGGGTGATCGTAAAGAATCCCCTGCTCCCTGCGCAGAAGCTATACATGTCTGAGCAAAGCTCAGACATGTATAAGAGACTTGTGCGCAAGCACACAAGAAAAAGCCACTTTATAGTATGAGCCCACTACACAATGTAACTATCTAAGGATAAAATAAGTAACTGAACTGAATTCTGTTCTGTGATTGCACTCAGTTGATCTGAGTACAGTCAGGAATATGTAATTAGGTTTGCAACTGATGTTGCAAAGGTGCTGCATCAAGTGGTCAAGGGTAGTAGTATGGCAGTCCATTTGGCAGTTTAGAGAGAACCATTTGGGGGTCCTTGTGATACCAAGTAGCACTTGGAATGGCCTTGATTTTTTAGGAATGAATTTACTGGCAGTCATATTCTGAGCTGAATGAGTACGAGTATTCCTGGGGGTCTCCCAAACACCATCACAACCCCAGGTTGTTTCAAAAAGCTTTATGATGATCCACTTTAGAATCACTTTATTTGCCATGACTGTGCCAGACCCTGCCCATTGGGACTAGCAAGATTTTGCCTTAAGGAGCAACCAAGCACTAAGTCTCAGAAATACAGATGGAACACTATTACAACTTCATGTTGTGTCATATGCTAAAGCATCCATGCACCATATAAATATGGAAAATCATGAGGTTTAACTCCATCGTCATTAAACGAATTATACATACTTCAAAATAGTTAAGTAGCAGAGCTCTCCTGATGCAAAGACCAGGGCTGATGTGAGAACTAGGAGTGTGGTTGTGGCTTCATGGTGGAGTGAGTATGTGAGGTCAACTAGAGGTACATCCACTATGACCTCAACAAGGCTGGTCACCAGATCCTCCACCAGAGTTGAGTTGTCTTTAGGGGTTGTATCTGATTTGATTGGCAAAAGTATTAGTAATTAGAGATGTCTTCCAAGCTGGCAATTAATGGATAAGACCAAAATAACTACAGTACATGAAGGCAAATTTCCAAAAAGAACATTTTTAACTATCACCAGTAGGCTCTAGATTTGTTCGTACACTTGAAACAACATACATGAATGTTGGTTAGGAAAAAATGTAAGAGTATAGTCACAAACATGAAAAAGTCAAGAGGAAGAGCAGAAGTAATGGAGAGTGAGATGCATTTTTAGTGTTATAAACATTGAAGCCAAGAAATGAAAATGTCAGGAAAAATACAAAAGTAGAAAAGTTAGTAAATTATAAGACAGGACAGTTTATAAAGATAAATTGGTCATATTGAATGAATTTATTATAATGTAGTGGGGTTAAGAGTGAATGTGAGGGAAGAGGAGAATGCCAAAAAGAACAAAAAATGGCAATAAGTATTGAGCGTATAAAAAGGGTGGGGGATTAACTTTGAACAATATAGAGTAAGTGGTAGGAAATAAGGCTAGATGGATTCACTTTCTTGAGAGAGAATGGACAATGATGGAGATGTAAAACTGAAATATGAATAAGAGTAAGCCCATCAAAAAATTGGATGAAACAAAAACACGTGTCCAAATAATTGCCGATTTTTTAATATACACGAGTCCAAATTTTTTCACATTTTGGCAAACAGTGTTACCAATGACTAAATGAGCATATAGTCAATATTCTTGAATGGCCATCATAAAATACAGATCTAACATTTCCTAGCCTTGAAGCCCCCTGATGGCCATGGTCCGTGTCAATCCATCAGCGACGAAGTGTAACCGTACATGACCAACAGCTGCCCTTTGGCTACAACAAAGTGTTAATGATAGGCTAACAGCATCATCCAAAGCCTCACACATAAAGGGTTTCAGTGTTTTTCTGTCAACAGTCTTACCACTGACAGCTCTTCCTTTCGGCTTACAAACTCCATGATCTGCTTGCTTTGACTTTAAGTCGGAAATAGATGTACCAATCGCTTGCCTCTCATAATTCCAATTGTCTTCTTATCCATGGTAAGGAAGTTCCTCGTATCCTTACCACTCTTTCCAGATGACATGGTTTCAACTTGCAAATAATTATATTATACTGTGCCGACATACATGGAAAGCACAGTATGTGTACACACACACACAGTAGCACTATGGATACCACAGAAAAAGCTCCTCTGTACAATTTATAGTACAGAACAAGCACAGTGAAACATTTCTAAAACACAACAAAATAAATAAAAATATTCATGTACACTGGCACTATCGAAAGCCAAAGGAAAAATAAAAATTTAATAAACATATGATCTGCAGGAAATTACTACAATATACCTGTATGCGACTATCAATTTCACCACGGCTGTTCCAAAATCCGAATCTGAACTTCAAAACTTAGGGAGGGGAGGGTAAGGGCAGGGGGCATCTGGTAGCGATTTTTTTTTTTTTTTTTTTTTTAAAGAGGAGTCCGTTATATATAAGTTCAAAGTTTGCAGATTTTGAATTATTAAATTTGTGCTTTGAAATTTGAATTATTAAATTAATGGTGGCATAAAAAAAATGAACACAATAGAAGTATCATTTCCTAAATTATATACCATCCAGTAATTGTGATAAGGTACAAGCAACTACAGTACTTACTGTATTGGTATATTGCATAAATTCAAAAATCCAATGCAGCAAACTCCATACTGGTCTAATATACAGTATACAAATAATGCAGTATACTGCATGTCAAATTCACAAAACCTGATTTTATATAAACTCGCTGCAAACTGTATTAGCACAGCCTCTCTCTTTTTAAAGTTCGGGTTCATCCATTTAATTTCAGCAATCCATTTTCTACTTACATCAGCATCCTTGAAGAGATGGTTGAACTTAGAAGTACACAAGGATGGTCCCTGTGAAGCTGGCTGGGATGAACAGAGCATCACTTGTTTTCCCATAGATAAATAATCTCCTGCACAACTTTTTTTTTTAAATGTTTCAACTGTGCAAACAGGATTGGAGTTCCTATTTTAGGCCATGCTTATGCCACAAACAATTAAATATGACAAGATACATGGTCACACATGATATTTGCCTGTGCATGATTGCTAACAGCATCAAAATGGTACTAAGTGCAAATAAATAGATGAACAGGTCTATATCCTGCAAAAAATAAACAAAATTGACCTAATTTTTATTGACTTCCTAAATATAGGTGAACAATTATACACAATTTGGCTGTTATCCCACATATAAATTCAGAGGACATAAACACATACACAATGCTGGAGGAGGGGATGTTTATCATTAACATATTCATGCAGCTGCAGTTCATTACACCACCAATACACAAAATGAAGCAAGTGTTCCTACCAGTTGTCTTAATACACAGCTTAGGCAAGATAACCTTCGACAATTTAAACACATTACGGTCATAGGATTTACAGCACCTAACCAAAGAGGAGATATCAAATGTGCACCACCTAGCTGCAGGTTGCGAACAATGTTCCAAGGATGGCATGGATAGTGTGCTCAGGGCTTATTTTTAAAGCACAAAAAGTTAACCCAAATGAATCCTATACTTGTAAAATCAAGAAAAAAAACAGCGTTGAATGTAATGAAATGCCATTTTCTGGGTGTAGCCCCGGAGGCTCCATGAAGCCTGCGGGGCTCCTCCCAGAAAAATTGCTAAGCTCTTTTACTGTTCACACAGATCCATCAAACACTTCAACTCAGGAATGGAAATAAAGCCCTTAGGGCTGGCCTTTCTGATATATTGTACAAAGAAAATTTTGCAACGTACATATTTAAATTACTTTTAGATAAAAGTATAAAATTACTTCACAAAAGTAAAGAGCTACTGGAGTGAGAAATACAGCAGAAGATGGTGATATTCAATGAGAAGTACAGGTGCCATTATTACAATTAGCAATTACTTGAAAGTTGGAAAATAAACACACCGTATTGTATTACTAGAAAATATGAAATGTTGGCAATATCATATTGTAGTTGATGAAATCAAGAAGGAACTATATAAATTTAAGGGAATCAAGTTTCTGAAAGACCAAAGATGGGCTGGAAGTTATAAAATAATTCAATATACTACAAATAAGCAAGTACTACATGAAGGCTTTGGAAAACTGCACACATACTGTACTGAAATGCTCATTAAATAAATCTACATAAATCACATTTCTGTTGGAGGATCATATTGAAATAATTTCTGCTAGATATTTAAGTGTATGTCCATGTATGATATATCTCTAGATAAGACACAGACAGGATTCTAGATAGTCTATTGAGCATACTATGTGTGATGTGACTATACGAGCCAACAACTTTCTTAAAAATGTGAGGCCTACCTTTGTAAATGGTTGTGAGACATGGGTGTAGAATAGCAGTATGGTGAGAAGGCTGCAATCTGTTGAAATATATTTCTTAGGAAACAAATTAAATGAAAAAATAGCTTCGACTGATGATGAAAAAGCTTCTTTCCGAGCAAAATACACTGTCCATCCTTTAGGCAATGTCATGCTGTGCCCATGGACAGGAAATCTACTTGAAGATTATTCAGTATACAATTATGATTACGTGTTATGCCATTATTATAACTTTCTCTTTTGCAGATAATGTAGTGTAATTATTATAAATTTCTCTTTTGCATATAATATACTGTAATTTTGTGTAAACTCACTCAATTATAAATGAACAACCATTTATGAATACTTTTTTTCCATGATTTCCATTTAACTATGCACAAGCAGGAGATGCAAAAATTTCCCACTGGTGCAACCGGGATCTCTTCAAACACTAGTGTGCATTGGTGCACAGAATGACCCCCGAGAAGGCTCATTCAAGTAGTCAAAATGACTATACTGTACTTGGTTTGAAAGGGACTGCTAATTAGTGCTCTCATTAATCACTAGTTTTAGGAAAAATTCCCAAAGAACAGCAAAAATAGTGGAAATCAAGGAGAATTATCCACTGCCAACTCTGATAATCTGGTTACTGTATTTACAGAGTCCAGAAATACAGTACGTATACACAATCAGTCTGAATACACACTCACAAGCAACATCTAATAATGACTTGAGCAAAGTACACAATGAAATCATGTAAAGATAGACTGTAACTCATTTAATTTAATGTTTTGGTTTTTGCCAGCCTGAAGTTTTTTTTTTTTTTAAACAATCATGAGTACGTATGATGAATCTGTGTTTCTAATGCGGGCAGAAACAGGGTACCCAGTTAACATGCAAGTGATGCCACATGATTAGCAGTAGATTTAAAAGCTAGGTGATAAGGAACAACACCCCCTGGCAGTCTATTTGATGCAAAGTATTGCTCGGAAGAGCTTAGAGTGTAGTTGAATGAGCTTACTCTAGGAAATTTCAGGTTAGATTCATCTTTCTCCATTTCCTCTGCGACAATATGAATGGATAGGAACTCACAATGAAACCACAATGTGATATATCTATAATTTTTACATTACCTACATCAATGTGTGTGCTGATTACATGTAAATACAGTATTGAATCGAGTTCCAGCTCTGTGCCTCCAAATTGCTAGTGGGTTCAGGCAGACTCTAGGTTGTGTAACCTTTAGTATGTCGTGGTCCTCGAGTTAAAGTGCATGACAGGCGTAACCCAGAATGCTGGTTCGATCCTGCTGTTCCATTTCAAAGATTTTCTTATGAATTGGAATATTTGAAAAAGACCCCTATTGTACTACTATGGAATAATTATCAGCCCTGATTATGCATCATTCTGTCCATGGGCATAGGGCCTTGCCTGAGGGAGGAACTGAGAGGCACAACTCAAAGAATATGGGGTAAGAAGAGTAGAGGCAAAATCATAGAAAGAAGCAAAGAGCAGAGAAAAGAAAATACAGTATGTAATAAAAATTGGTTAATATAATATACTGTACGATGTATGTACAATATTATCAATTTAATCTCGTCTTAATCTCTCTATTTTTACCCAATTCTGTATCCGTTATTAATTTTATACAACGAAGGCGAGCTCTTCTTGGGCATATTAAATTTTCACAAAGGCAAATTATATTGTTGATTATAAAGCATTCAGTCAATTATCTTAGTGACAAATCATTTTTTTACTGGTGTACAATTTAGAGATATAGAATTGCGTTTTCTTTCACAAGTAGAAAGAAAACGTATACCAAGCACCAGTTTACTACTTCAAACCCTTGGCTATAAAAATCGATTTTATATTCAAGAATGTCTATACTGTTAGGGGTAAACAACCATCTCACGACTATGGAAATATAAAATAATTGTCCTGGCAGATACTGCACCTGTACTATCTTCCTGTTGCAACAGCTCAAAACATTGTTCCCCTTACGTAACCCAGTAGCCAAGTGTCATCTACAACACGTGCATATTATGCAGACAGTAAGTCACAATTACGTGGCTGAAAATTATACACCCAACTCAGACATCTGAAAAATAAAGGAAGTGACAATGTTTCAGTCCATGCCAAACCATTATCAAGTTGCATAATAACTTTATAATGGTTCAATATACTGTAGACCGAAATATGATCATTTTCTTTATTTCTAGAGTGTCTAATATTCATATTACTATATATTCCTTTATGAAGATCATTTATATAGACAATGAACATTATTGGCAGTAGTACCAAGCATTCTGAGGCTTTGCAAGTAATATTTCTCACGTCCAGTTCAATGCCCCTTATCACTGTTTATGTCTTTCTGTTAAGAATTTTTTTCCATCTATGTCACTTTCCGTGTGTATTCCAATCCCCTTTATTGGGTCTAGATAAATGCAGTCTGTCCAACTGTCTATTTTATGTAACATCTTTATAGCTGCATCATAAAGCTAAGTACAGTACTGTAGAGTACATTTGTTTATGAGCAAACTTCCAGTTCAAAAACCATATTGCCTGCCCATTATTGTAATTACTTTCAAAGCATTCCACCCATTTAGTTAACTTAAGAGTATCATTTGTCAATAATATTGCTTTTCAGTTTAAAGGCTTTTCTCAGTTAACATTTTTATAAATTGGGACCATCTTTGCCTTTTCTCGATGCTCACAATGTTCCTTGCTTATACAGTATAGATGTTTGGAAAGTAATCTGCAGTAGGTTGCCAAGTTTATGACCTTAGTACCCAAGGTGAATCTCCAACTGACCCAGTTGCGTTGCTTCTGCCTAACTTCCTGATCAGTTTTTCACATTGTCTCTAGACATAATTATGTGCATACTCATGCATGTATGTGCATAGACAGTGTATATACTATGCATGTGTTTTATTAAACCATCTAAAATATTAATAGTCTAATTTCAAAGAATCCTTGAATTATTACAAAACAAATCCCTTGAAGGGCGAGACAAAATCTTGCGCAATATCTGGAAGGCCAGATTATTTATTCATTTATTTATTAATATATACAAGAGTTATTTCATTCTCGTAAAACCATTGGCACGCATGGCGTTTCGGGCAGGTCCTTAATCATAATTTTCCCCAGAATACAACCCGCCAAACTGTTTAACAACCAGGTACCCATTCATTGCTGGGTGAACAGAGGCTACAGTTAAGCACTGGCACCCGGTCAACCCTCCCTGACCAGGATACGAACCCAGGCCAAAGCGCTCGCGAAGAGCCAGGCGAGTGTCTTACCAACTGCGCCATGGGAACTGGTATTAGATTAGTATTACAATCTCAAAATGCTGTTGCAAGGTAGGAACTCTCTAAAAGTTAGAACTAATGTACAAGCAAATGGTAATAACTTAGCCTGGAAAATAAACAAAGCCACATGCAAAAACAAACTGTATATACTTTCAAGGAAAAGTCAATTGCCCAAACTGTGTAGTGTATAGACACACAAGAGTCTTAATTATGTATTAAGGGAACTTTGCATACCTCACATGGTTTATATGTGGGAAACAGCTTCATGGATACCAACACAATCACACTACTTTTTCCAGATCTAATACTATATGTCATCCAACTGCAATAAGTGACCTATAGAAACAAAAATTCAAAATTATATTCAGATAAAATATACTGTACTGTACTTGAATGCATGTACATTAATAACAAAACATCAAGCTTACATTGAAATATTTATTATCTGTTTAATACAAATAATTGTCCTGAACTTACCTTCTTCTGTGGGTGTAGGGGAAGTCTGAAGAACTTCAATTACTTCATCTTCTGACAAGTGTTGTATAAGTAGCTTGCATACGCAACGAACAATAAAGAGTGCATTATATGCTTGCCATGTAAACACACTGCTGTAGAGAAGGGGAGGCAATGTAACAGCAAGAGGAGGAATAGTGAAATCATGAGCTGTGCTACAGAGGTATAGCATCCAGATATGCCTTCATAACTCATGTATATATAATTACATAGCAAGTAACATAGCATACTTAGCTCACTGCTTACTTATCACACTGTGCTGATGCTTTAAGTTCTGTTGCTCTGGAGAGGAACACATGAATTAGAGATGCAACATTACCACTGGTTGCATGGTTCTGTAGGAGTTCCACATAAAGTGACGTCACAGATTCTTCCAATAGGCGATGGTCTGAACTGCAATACAGTATGTCATCAACAATCAAGGACCCATAATTTTTACTTTGAAGAAACTGAAGGAAAAAAAATGAGTACATTATTAAAATAAGACAGCAGAGGAATATAGGATGGTTTGAAAACGTGAAATTTGACTGGAAATCACAAAATATTAATTAGGACTAACTACTACATAAAAGTAACAAAAAATTAAAAATATAAAAGAAAACAAAAAACTTTTTAACTCTAAATATAATTTTCTCTCTAAAATGATCTATATTGCACTGTACATGGCACTCCTGTTCGAACAGAACTCTGTGTACTAGACGATAGGATACAAAAAATAAAAAGTGTTCCAGCAGTATGATTGCTATATTTAATTCAAAGGAAAAATAATGTATTATCTGTAGAGTAAGCTTATGCACTTCCACAAACTCACTACCAAGTAATTCTGGCTTCAAAATGAGCAAAACAACAAGCTTCAAAAGCAATGAAAGGATCTGTCAGTTTCAACAGGAGTTCACTACAGTATTTCCAACTTGCATTAATGCTAAGGATATTTGACAGTATAGGAATTTTCATTGCTTGTTGGGTGTGGGTGCTTGTTCCACCTCATTTTGTTAGTAAAGTTGGAAAAGTAATAAAATAAAGCTGTGAATGTAATGAAATGCCTTTTTTCTTGTGTGGCCCTCAGTGAGTCTCTGAGCCAAGTGCTAGTCCAACCAAACCTTCGAAGAGATCCTGCAAGCCTCTGCGACTCACCATTGGATGCTGATTGCCAGGATCAGAATGAGGTCCTGACAACCACCTCTCGCCTCTCTCCATGAGGTGACAGGAGTTTTGGGATCAGAGATGAACCCAGAACCAAGAAAAATCCACTAGAGTGCTTGGTGCATAGCCTGGTAATAGCAGGGCACACAGACCTGGACCCCTCCAGATATACAGCCCAGAAACATTTGGGTCTACAGCCTGGGAATGGCATGGGTAGTTCTGAAGTGAGAGGGTGGCAGGCTGGCTGTTAACCCCTAGGGAGCAAGCCTACCATTTAGTGGTAGTCGGCCATACAATTTTCTTCAAGCACTTATGTTGTGTCTATGCATTCTTTTCTCAGTTTTGGGTCAAGCTCTGATTCCAAGCTTCCCTCGCCTCACATAGTGGGTCAGACTTTTGGTATTGACTTCTGAAGGCAAGGACGAGTCTTGGAGACCTGGCATAATTAGCTAAGGCTTGTCAGTACCAGAGCTAAGTTTGGGAAGCTTCTACTGAGGGGTTCTTCCCAAAAACTGTACTGTATATCATAGGGATGAGATGATGAAAGATGTAGAAAAGTGTGATCATAAGTTGGCAAGGAGTGAAGTGAGTTAATGCAGTCTTAGATAAAAATGGTAAATCTTTAAGATATGAAAGAAAAATTCTTACCTAGTGTCTGGTATTGAAAATGTGAATGATAGGAGCTGATTCCAAAAGGGATCATTGGCAGTAATGATCTCTGTGCTTACAAATCTCTTGAGGTACTGATTGGAGGCCAGCTCAATAATGCTGCTGCTACCAGCCCCCATCTTGTCAAGCTTTTGAGTGCTGCAGTAACTCTTACAATTGTGTAATGTCAAGCTTGAATCACACACCTCATTACAGAACAGTACTGTATATGATCTGGAAAAAATTATAGATAATTACAAAACTAAAAATATCAAATTGCCAACTTAAAACTTAATACATATCGATTAAAATAAATTATAGTGCATGTAGGTCTTTTTCCATGTACGTAGTGTAGTATACATTCACCGTCCCGCCATCCAATCGTCTTGCATCAGATTGCAACTGCATCATAAACTAAGGACATCAGAATATTGTACACTGTATTGTACTGGTAGTAATAAAACACATTATACAGTAATGGTACTAACCAAGGGTTTAATTGTTCCTCCACATACAATCTTAAAATATTAGCTATGTAAGTGTGATTGTGTTAATTGTGGAAAGTAGAAGTTGAGACTTCAGGATGAGTTGCAGAGGTTCCAGGGTTACAAGGAGGTGCAACATGATAGGCTGTAATTCAAAAATTCTTTGTAGCCCTCTCAAAAGTCTAATAGTATACATAGCTCTAAAACTTCATTTTTTAAACTTTTGTCTATAATCTATAAAAATTAGCATACTCTAAGTACTGACAGCAGTTCTTCTCCTCACATACTTTAAAATTTCCTCAAAGTACTTTTCTACCTCTGATATTTACTAGAGTTCTTTGCTTCTCCTCCTCCATTAAGCTCTTTGAATCTTGGAAATCAGCAGCCGTCATATTTGTACCTCAAGACCGTGTTATAAATTTTTCCTCATCTAAATTTTTTGATGCCATAGTAGCAGGCTGTTTCATCTTTTATATAAAATAGAGTAGGGTGAGAAAGGAATTCTTCAATGGCCACAGGATGCACAAAAACATGTTAGATTGGGGGTAACAGGTGCAGAGGTTTCTCATTAAGTATGGGAGGCAAGGAGCAGGGAAGGCAATTGGTAGACTTGTCTTCGACAGTTAAACTGATTGTACACACAAAGTTGAACTGTGCAACAAAGTACTTTATCAAATTATTATTTGTTTAAGCAATTTTTTATCTTATTAAACATCCAATAAGAACACCTAATATTCAAAGTCAAATAAAATTATCATTAGACCATTTTATGCTTGTAGACTAGCAAGAAGCCCTCCTCCCAGGGAATCCCCAACATAGGACCACATTTATTCAAGAGTTGGAGGTTTACAAAGCAACTGTTACTTTTCTGTGGGGCTAAACAGAGGGTTACATATATGGAAAAGGCCAAAGCATGTTCCTGCAAATCTTCAGAGGGTTATACAGGTTTAAGACCTGTATAACCAGGTTATACAGTACAGTACTGTATTTAAGACCTGTTCTTGCCAGGTTCTGAAGCTTACACAAGTGTAAGAATTGCAGCAGGTTCTTGCAAGGGAATTACACAGGTGCAAGACCTCAACATGTTAAAGAAATGGCTTAATTTATACAAAAATAATGAAACTAAAATTTTCATGTTTTATTAGATTATAAGTATGTAATTCAAATTTTCACTCACCTTCCATATGCAGGTGGCCCTTGTTTTGTGCAGGGAATTACATTCCTGTAAAAAAAAATGATTAAAAAATGCATATACTGTACAGTACTTGTGTGAATCTCTATATTGAAGTACTGTATATTGAAGACCTCTATATTATATGAGGAAAAAAAATTGCATATGAAATACCTCCAAAATACAACACTCAATAAAATAAAGCCCAGAATATTATGTGTAATGATGGTAAAATATAATGCAAAACTTGGAAAAATGTGTTTACCTGTTATGTGGCTGCAAGTCTACTGATTATCTCAGCTCACTTCTGAGAGTTGTACTACAGCAACTGTATTGTAAAAACCATATTACAAATATGCATAATTTTTTTGTTTATTAGCCTTCAATTTATTGTATTTCATAAGTTAGACCGATTTATTGCATCTGTAATAAGTGTTATTTTACCCAAGTACTTCAAGTAAGTACTGTACTGTAGTACTGGGACCCAGTATTAAGTTCAGTCAGGTTCGTTCTCGACGCACAATCAAGAATTCCGGGTATGAACCCTAGGTGGGACAGAAATGGTTGGGCACATTTCCTTTCACCTAATGCCTCTGTTCACCTAGCAGCAAGTAGGTACGCAGGAGTTAGTCGGCTTGTTGTGGGGGATGCATTCTGAGAAGGGTCAGTAATTCGACCCTGAGGGGGGTGGGACCTTGATAAAAAAAACCTAACGTGTATGAATACACTCTGGCTTCCTGTCCCATAACAGTGAATTATTTTATATTATTGGAAATAATTTGTATTTACATAACTAGAAAAGATGATGTCCTTAGGTAAGATCCTTTCAATTATATTGTGCACATTTTCAACTACTGAAAGGGTAGGTGATGTTCCATAAGCCATCACTGGACCTGGTCTGTCACGAGATTGATTGATTGATTGATTGATGAAGATTAAGCCACCCAAAAGGTGGCACGGGCATGAATAGCCCGTAAGTGGTGACCCTTTTGAGCCATTATTAATATCAATAGATGATACTGGAGATCTGTGGAGGTGCGAAGGCACCCTGCGTGATGAGAGATGTCTCCCGTGTGTCATGAGAGGAGCACACCTGGCTTATAAAGTAAACCAGGGTGTATGATCAGGGTGCAAATGACTATGTACTCAGGCCAAATCAGTCAGGTACAGTCTTGAAGGAAGAAAACCATTACAACAAAGTAATACGACTGAAGCATTTAGCCCTTGGAGTACCACCTAAGTAACCAAGATTAAAAATATATATAACCATGCTAAGGGGCCAGGTTTCCCAAACAATACCCACTGATAAGAGGAACTAAATAACTATTACAAATACAGAAAAAATAGCAACACAAGGGGGTTAACTCACAAGGTTAACCTAATGACGTGGGAGTCTTCACTGACACCTGGACACTAGACTCACGTCAACAACACATTCCCTCCCCCTTGGCTTTTCTCTTTACCTTTCCGCCAAGATATCCCCCAACACGTCAAAACTGATTACCCTATCTTGCAAGACTATAGTAAAGACTGAGTTAGTAAGAGGACGCGAGGCACACACACACCAATCTTCAAGGTATTTCAGTGAGAACCTCGTCAACTTCCTTGGCCGCGAGCAGAGTGTAAACACGTCGACTGCTCCTGACGTCACAGGGAAGCCTCCATTCTAATAAAAACAATAATTAAACTATGTCATTTTTACTTGTAATCTTCTCATGGCATTTCCAAACTATATGCTAAAAAAAATGTATGTTATTTATACTGCCGTTATCAGTAAGAATGAAATTAATATAAATTATAACAAGTAAGGTTTTTATCATTAATTCTAATCCTATACCAAATATACCGAATATAATTTAAAAATATAAACTTTTTTTTGTATGTAACTTTCTTAGTTTTAAATTAAGCAGTCAAATTTTCTTTAAATTATTTAAAGATAAATTCTTTCTATAGGCATATATTCTGCTAATATATGCCTATATTTATGACCAACCACCATGCAGGCCCAGCGATATATGGGAATATTAATTATTGGTGAACTTATTACCATAACATTCTCTCTATTTCTTAACATTCTCTCTACACTATCACAAAATTCTGGTAAACTGGTCGTCTCTTATTTAAGGACTCTAACGCTCCTCTACTGTCAATAAAGAAGTTTTTTTTTAGCTTAGTTCATTTATTATGCACCCCATACCCATCCCGTGGGCGGTAGTGGAAAGGGTTACAGAGGCACATAATGGGCACAGGGACTGAACCCCACAATTCATTTAGCTAAGCAAGTTACAATCTTGATGAGCTAGTTACAAAATTTAATATAAGTCGTCACATCAACAATGGGTTCGAGATCGACCTCAAGTACAGGTTCTAAATTAAGCAACTGACATGTGGAGAGTTAGTGTCACAATTTATATGTTTGTCCTGCACACCGCCCCCCATCCAGTGGGCAGCTGTGGATACGTTACAATCACTCAGTTACTACCTACAGTTAGCAAACTGGGGATATTTGGCTAAAATTTCTGGTAGCAGATCACTTTGCATGAAATATTGACACATCGCGGGAACATTGGTTATAGAATTGTCTCTAAATTCACGTATCTTTTCGCACTCCATCACATAGTGACGGAGGGTGTGTGAATAATTTTGTTGACACAGTTTACATTTGGTCAGGTCTACATCAGCAGATAATGAGAATTCCCAGAGATACTTGTAACCGAGTCTAAGCCGAGCAGTAGTAACATCTAGAAGTCTGCTGATTTTATTGGATGATCCATAGATGTGTGGCTCCTCTTGCATGATAGTATGATGATAGATGGAATTACTGGTGTCAATTTCACTTTGCCTCAGATCTACAAGATCTTGTTGAAGTTCTCGGTGTACTGCTGCTCTCAGATTGCTCATTGACAATCCAAGGTTACACTCAACGGCTCCTTTAAAATAGGCAGATTCTTTGGCTAACTTATCAGCTCTATCATGCATTCGGAGGCCAACATGAGATGGAGACCACATGAAATGGACTCTGTTACCATCCTTAATAATTTTGTTGTATTTGTGTCTAGCTTCAGACACGAGCATGTTACAGTTATGTCTTAAAGAGTTAAGAGCATTTAAGGATGATAAGGAGTCACTTACAATTAATGTATCAAGTTTGGAGACTTGTACACATTTCAGTGCAAGGAGCAAGGCAAATAGTTCAGTCTGAAGGGTAGAGGCCCAGTTGTTTATACGGACTCCCCACTCAAAGTACAAGCCATCGCCCATTGTCAGGACAACTGCACTTCCAGCTGCACCCGTGGTGCGGTGTAGGGAACCATCAGTGTATATGATTTGAGAGAGAGAATGCTCTGTGGACAGAGCATCAATATGGCTTAAGGCGTTGAGCTTTGCCTCAAGACGAAGCTTGGGCTGATCTCTAATTTGCTTCTTGGGTGGAAAGGGAGGGATTAAAACTGGAAAGGGTGTAACCTCCCACAGTGCAGGAAAGTGCCGTTGTTGTTTCTCTTGGTACAAATCATGAACCTGATACATTCTGAGTTGAGTTCCAGTTTTTGTTATCCATTTGGAACAATGCTGATCTTCAATACAGAAATTCTGGAGGGCTTCTGTGCAAGGATTAGGATGAGTTAGCCTAAGCATTTTTATACCAATTTGACAGTTAATTTCAGTAACACGATCAACAACGCTTAGAATATTAAGTTCCTTTCTCATATTAAGTATCTTTGCGGTACGAGGGCACCCAAGGATTGTCCTCAAGGCTTCGTTCTGTAATTTTTCAAGCCCTCCAAGCTTTCTTTCAGGCATCAAAACAAGCAGAGGTGCAGCATAATCCACTAGAGATCTGATGTATGCAAAGTACATCATTTTGACAATTCTGACATTGGCACCATAGCCTGAGTGATAACCTACAACAGCCTTGAGAGCTCGGAGCCTCTCTTTATATTGACGACAGTCTGAATACAACAGGACCATACAGTGGCACCTCAAGGCCAAGGTATTTGAATCTGTTTACATCGTCAAGCTGGCAGGCATTTTTACCACATTTGACTACTTCCTGTAATCCTGCTAATACACCTTGGAGTTCAGCCCAGTGTTGCCAGATTGGGCTACAAATAGCGAATTGGGCTACTTTTGAGAGCCCCGCGCTCCCAAATTTTTAATTTCGCTACTTGCTACTTTTTGGGCTAATTTAAAAGCAAGATGTGCTAATTTGGGCTATTAATTAATGTTAAGAATGTACAATTGCGAGTTACATGAAAGTAACTAAGCTATAAATAATTGTAATTAATAATAATTGTAAATATTAATTAATACTAAATAATATTATTTAATAAATTAGTCCCAATTCAATGCAGAGTTTTCTTCCAAGCGCAGAAACTTATAAATATAAATACAAGATAATAGATTGATCGATAAATAAATAGACAACTTTCAAATATTGCACCAAGTAATGGCGAGAGGAACAAAACTAAACGGTATACATTACATTTGAAATTAATAATGGATGAATGGTAATAAATTGGTGTATGTTTGTATGTATACCAAAGTCCATTTAATGGCAGAATTTAGCCATTTTGTGTAAAAACTTTTATATCTCATATTATTAATTATAACAGTAATCGAAAAAAGTCATAGTTTGTATATACAAGAGATGAAACAAAGAGCCATGAGCTAGATCGATGTGCTGAGTTCATAAGGAGGCCGAGCTTCCAGAAATACCTTCCTGTGATTGGCTGTTGCGGGGAATACCAACACTGTTTTATTATGAATAAAATTTTAACTAAGAAATAGGTCCTTGTGCACAACAATAAGGTTGTTGTGAAAAAGAACAACAATTTCTGTTTTGCACCTGATAGAAATATCCATCTAACTGAATAATTTACTCGAATAAGAGGGCAGAGCAGTGTATCATTATTTGTGTCAAGGCAACCCCCAATAATAACGTAAAAATTCAGGTAGCCAGCCCATGTTTCTGTAACACTCGTTACATCCTGCAGTATTTAATTATCACTATATTAATACTTTTAAATACTTAACATTTCACTTTTTATGTAGATTAAAGTTGAAGCAGAATGTCATAAGCAAGGATGGTGTGCTGAATAAAGATGATTTATTAAATGGATGGAGCCTTTAGCTGAGCCCTTCCTGTGATTGGCTGTTGTGTGAATGTCAACAAAGAATATCTACCAATGATATGCCATTTATTATGCACCCCATACCCACTGTGGGCGGAGCTTGGAACCTCCTACCCGAGCACAACAACCCGCCTTATGGGTTGCTGTTTGGCTATTTATAGTGCGTTGGAAAAAAACGAGATGGCGTTAGTTGTATTTTGCAGGGTAATTTGTTATAAGTGTAATTTGATGCCAACAGATGGCGTAAGCTGTATCTTATGGCCACTGTTGACCAGCCAGTTGATAGTGTTCTCTTCTGCCGACAGATGGCATCAGCTGTGTAGTTATTACTTCCGAATTTCCTTTTAAACACTGATCTACAAATCCCTTGGCTTATGATAAGGTTTTATACCATTTATGATAAGTATTAGATAACTGGAGTTCCGCAATTACTTTTATTTATCAACTGTTCAGGATATCATCATATAACGTCTGGTTAGGACGTACTGCTCTCGATTGATGAAGATTAAGCCACCCAAGAGGTGGCACGGGCATGAATAGCCCGTAAATACTGCTCTTGTAATATTATTCAGGGGGTGGGGGAACTATCAAGTGAAAGCGCCAAGCCATTACAACTATATAGCAATCGGAAGGGGTCAGGATACGGATTTGAGATGGAACGGTGGAAAGGAATGGTGCCCAACCTCTTGGGCGGTCAGGCCGATGTCAGTGTACTCCCTGATCAAGACTCCATATCCAGCCTTCCCATATCTGGCTGCTGACCCATCACAATATACATACGGAGTGTTTTCTGTAAGCAATTTTCTAATTACAGTATACAATCATATGTTGCCCTCAGCTCTTCTATCTCACACATACTTTTTTCTTTTGTAAGGGAATAATTACTACATCTACATTACAATCCTCCCATGATGGTGTGAATTGTCTCTTAGGCAGAGCAGTACATTCTGTAATAACATCATGCTTTATAATATTAGAGCATAAGGTACTCATATATGCTCTCTTCTTTATCATACATAGTTCATTACTTCCCACCTTTTATACTGAGAGGATTAATTCATTAGCTTCCCCACCGCTCATTAATCTAATGGCAGAGGCTACATTTATCTCTGAAATTCTATCCCCAATACTCTTCAAATTCAACTTCATCCTTATTATCTCAATCATAGCATTTCTTGGGCATCCTAAGATAATTCTCATGGCTTCATTTTGTACCTTCTCCAACTTGCCCATCCTACCTTTACCAAAACAAGAAATGACAGGTGCAGCATAATCAATAAGGGATCTTACAGTACTCAAGTATATCATTCGTGGCACAGGGACTCCCACCCCCTTTCCACAGCATGCCAAGGCCTTCAGAGGTTGTAATATCTTCCGACATTGACCCAACAGTCTCCATTGGCTTTAGGGATAGGGATGATCATAGCTTTTTTTCTATTTACTAGGAATAATGCCCTCTTTATATCTTTATAACTAATTTTAAAGAGGCCTAACAGTGGGCTTTTCGTCATAATGGCAAGTTCATTAAGTATTTCATAAGTTACTCCATCCTTCACTAGAAGGTGAAGGGACACCTTTCCTTAGACAGAAGGCGTCTGAGGGCCTTTTTCCTCTCCCGCTTCCCACTGACGTTTTCCTCGAACTCATTAGACTCTGTGTTGACTCTAACTCTTTCTCTTTCAACGGTAATTATTACACTCAAACTTTCGGTGTCGCTATGGGTTCCCCTCTCTCCCCTGTTCTTGCTAATTTCTACATGGAATACTTCGAAACTGTTCTTCTTCCTTCTGTTGATACTCGTCCCTCTCTCTGGCTTCGCTATGTTGATGACATTTTTGCTTTATAGTCTCATGACCTTAGTCTTTTCCAGCCTTTCCTCGCCTCTCTTAACAATCTGGCTCCTTCTATTCATTTCAAAGTTGAGTGGGAATCTAATTACCTCCTTCCTTTTCTTGACGTTCACGTTCACAGCTCTGTGTCCAGGTTCTACCTCTCTGTCTACCGCAAACCCATGCATAGTGGCATGTACATTCACTTCTTTTCCTACCATCCTCCTTCTGTTAAGAAAAGTGTCCTCGTCTCTCTCTTCCTCCGCGCTCTACGCCTCAGCGACCCTCAGTTTCTTGATTCTGAAATTGCCTTTATCTACAAATCATTCTCTCGCCTTGGTTACCCTTTGCATTTCATCAACTGTGCCTACTCTCGAGCAAAACGCAATTTCTTTCACCCTAAACCTGTTTCCAACACTAGTAGCACTGTACTATGCCTTCCCTTCATATCTGAACTCAAAACTGTTTCCAATACCTTTCGTCCTCTTGACATAAAGCTCGCCTTTCGACAAACTAACACACTTCGTAGCAATCTAGTTCACACTGCTCCTCTTACTTCTTATGCTGCTGGTGTCTACTCTATTTTCTGTTCGTTTTGTCCTCTCCAATACTTTGGCGAAACTGGCCGTACACTGAATGACAGACTTAAAGAACACAAGAGAAGTGTTAAGTCTGCAGACACTAACAATGCTCTCTTCTGTCATGTGAGGGATTCCAATCATCCTATTGATTGGTCTTCCTCTAAAATAATCTTTCCTGCCTCTACTCTACATAGACGCCGTCTAGTTGAATCGGCTCTAATACACACTGTACCCAACATGAACTTGAGTCCTAGCTTTGTTGCTGTGGACTCTTCCCTTTCACAGTATATACTTAAATGCTCTAATCTTTCTAACAAACGTGACCTAACATAGCTTCCCCTTCCATTTATCTTTCTTTCTCTTTCCTTTTCTTTCTCTCTTCTCTGTTCTTTGTTTTCTTTACGTTTCCTTACTATCCTCTTATTCCTATTACTATCTCCTTCTCATTCGGTGGTTATAATAAAAGCTGCCTCGTATGGGCCTATAGGCCGTCTGCAGTTCTTATTCCTACTACTATCCCCTCTACTACATTTTTCTCCTCACCTCTCTCTAGTCTATTTATTGTCTGCATCTATTTATTGCCTACAATCGACTTGATAATAGTTCAGGACGGACCGAAACGTCGTCGTCCCTTCACCTTCTAGTGTGTGGTCTGGTCAACTTACTTTAGCTACGTTATTGTGACTCATCGCCTGCTTACTCCATCCTCCCAGGGGCGTTAGATTTCCCAACTTTAATCGCCATTAATAGTTCTTCTCTAGTAATACCTGTACAAGTGACATCACCACTGTTACCTGCTGTAAGTATAAAAACCTTTCTTAGATTTTTCCAAGAGTAACTGTTATGTACGAATCGGCCACTTCCAGGTTAGGGTCTACCTGGCATATCGATATCTATGGCAAGTGGCTGCAGGTAATGAATCCCCCCAATGGTGAACATTCCAATTGTATGTCCCAGCTCTTGTTCACAACTATTTGAACAAAAGCTGGGACACACTCTGCAACACTATATCTGTGATTGCCCTGTTGTCAATGATTTCAGACCAAATGGTTGAAGTACTTTGAGCTCTGTAACTACTTAATACACTCACGAATATTGAAAGATATTCTTATACTGTACCCAGAGTGTGCTAGTGTAGGCTAATAGATCAGCCTCGCATTTCATGTTCTCTCTTGATTCCGTGTATGACTAACCATTCTGTGAGATAGGGATATTAAACTAACTTAGTTTAGTTCATTTATTATGCACCCTATACCCATCTTGTGGGGCGGTAGTGGAAAGGGTTACAGAGGCACATAATGGGCTCGGGGACTGAACCCCACAATTCATTTAGCTAAGCAAGTTACAATCTTGATGAGCTACATAGTTACAAAATTCAATGCACAACCATTCTGTGAGATGGGGATATTAAACTAACTTAGTTTAGTTCATTTATTATGCACCCTATACCCATCTTGTGGGGCGGTAGTGGAAAGGGTTACAGAGGCACATAATGGGCTCGGGGACTGAACCCCACAATTCATTTAGCTAAGTAAGTTACAATCTTGATGAGCTAGTTACAAAATTCAATATAAGTGTATGGATCATCCAGTGATTGATAAATAAAAAAAAACATAAAAGTACACACATATAATAACAATTATGACTGAACTCTCGTTTAAATGATTATATATTTGTGAAATATACAAATAATTAAAGGTTTATGTTGGTCCTACGTATAAATATTTCTATAGTGACGTATACAGTAATGGTCAATACAACATACCACAAGTTTATTCATAATAATAACAATACCGACAATAAAAATACAAAAATAATCTTGCCATGGCGGGGAATGGCAACTGCGGCGCAGGTGGAATATAAATCACCCCGGTGTATATTTCGTCCTATATGTGTCTTTATGGTATATTGGAGTTTATTTGTGGAAAAGAAGACCTAATTGATTTTTGTAGAGGCATGTGAGGGTGGAGGTGGGCGGTAGGCGGCCGGTCGAATCTGGGCGGCGGAAGACATAACGTCGTAGTCTCTTTGTCGACGCCGAGAGGGAGAGGCGCGTGGTGGAGTTTTCCCTTTGGGGTGTTTTTTATGCTGGCAACCTCGTGTCTCGTCTGAGGGTGTCCCGAGCCCGGGTGGAGAGAGAGACCGTGTTTCCGCAAAGCTTTGTGAACGATTTATGTGTGAGTGAATCGCGGGATAAATGTCAGAATTGCAGGCTGAAAATTCACAGCCACCACCGTGCAAACGCCCGCGCCTGGAAACTGCTGTCAACGGGAGTACGGTAAGTGCATTTATTACCCCTCTTGGCCCTCTTATTTGAGCGGCCAGCGGTTGTATTCTTAAGTTTGAAGCGTCGTCCTGCTGGGTAGTGAAGTTTTCTGTGGAATCCCTTGCCCCTGTAGGGAGTTATGAATGAGTAATTATAGTTTTTAAAGTTGGGGGAGAGCGTCGCGAGGTGGTGGAACGTGCCCTCTTCTCCAAAAATATATCTGCCCCGTTAAGGTCTTTAGAAACCTGTAAAGATAACAGAATTCTTCCCCCCTAGAACCTGTGTTGCTGGCAACCATGGTATGGTTAATTTATCTTTAATTATAGTTAAGCTAGCTACTGCAGGTACTCTGGAGGGAGAAAGTATCTGGTCGTCAGTCGAGAAATATATAGTGGCTTTTATTTATCTTTTGAGGGTGTCGTGTCTGCCAAGGTTAAAGATACATAGGCTAAACATTATTTAATTGAGATTGGGCTTGTTTGTATATATTTGAGACATCTTTTTAGGTTATATAGATCAAATATAGGGTATGGTGGTATCGTATGCAGATGTTCTGAGCAAAAATGTATAATTTAAGGCTGTCGTGGGTGTGGTCAAATCATAACCAAGACAGTTCAATAAATCTCATTTTCAGATTGTCAGAACCTTTTGTATTGTTATATTTATATATATTCACATTAGCTTAAGTTAGGCAGTGTTAGGCCCAGTTGGGTAAGGTAGGTTAACTAACCCAGCTGCCAAACTGCCCTGTGCATACAGACTTGTATTCATTTGGTTACAAATAGTTTTGGGTATGCTTCTAGTAGTTTGGTTATCTTTGGTAAAGTTTTAAAATCAAATGGTGAGCTGTAATTAAAAGTAATTATCAGGAGAAAGCACTAGGCCATTAGGAATGGTGCCCAATCATGCGGACAGTTAGGGACACTAACCTGCAAGCTTACTCTTCATAGATTAGGCTTTAAAGTCTCCATACTGGTAGTTTAAAATGCTTCCATTTCATGCATGATTCTTTTAAACACAAATCATCAGAGCATCTGCATTGTATAGAGATGTCCACCATTCCTTTCCCCTGTCCCATCCCAAATCCATATCCTGATCCTTTTCAAGTGCTGTATACTCATAGTGGCTTACTGCTTTCTCCTGATAGTTATCATCCCTTCCCCCATACCATGTGGGTAATGGTGCCTTCTCCACAGGTGAAGAAATACACTGGGGAGCTCACTTTGTGGCCACCTTGTGGCAGTATGCAATTAGTACTTGTACCGTGTGATGTGATAATTGTCACAATGTACTTGTGACAATTAGAATACTGAGCTCTGGGTTTAACACCAGGTTCAGCTCCAGATGTGGTTTAATACACTACTGAGTAAAGGAAGGCAGTCAGTTCTCCTTAATGTGACATTCTGAGGTTTACTGGGAGGGAGGCGGTCGGCCGAGCGGACATCACGCTGGACTTGTGATCCTGTGGTCCCGGGTTCAATCCTGGGCGCCGGCAAGAAACAATGGGCAGAGTTTCTTTCATCCTATGCCCCTGTTACCTAGCAGTAAAATAGGTACCTGAGTGTTAGTCAGCTGTCACGGGCTGCTTCCTGGGGGTGGAGGCCTGGTCGAGGACCAGGCTGCGGGGACACTAAAGTCCCGAAATCATCTTAAGATAACCTCAAGATTACTGCAAGTGAGTGGTAGAAGGCTTGCTGTTGTGGGTTAATCCTCAATTCTTTGAGTTCAGATACATCAGATAGAATAAAAACCTAAGAATTAAGAAACTGCAGAAGGTCCATTGGCCAATAGGTAACAACTTTTATTTATATCTGCCCAAACTCATTTATATATATATGTTTAGCCTATGCTTGAAACATTCAAGTGATCCCAGGGGCCAGATTCACGAAGGAGTTACACAAGTACTTACGAACGTGTACATCTTTCCTCAATCTTTGATGGCTTTGGTTACATTTATTTTAAACAGTTCACAAAGATGAAAAATTCCCAATCAACTGTTGTTATTGTTATCAGCAGCTTCCTGGTGCTTCAGAGCTCATTAGCTGTTTAATAATTATTAACAAAGCCACCAAAAATTGAGAAAAGATGTGCAGGTTTGTAAGTGCTTGCATAACTGTTTCATGAATCTGGCCACAGGTCTATGTTACCCAGTAATCTGTTCCACATATCAACATCCTTGTTTCCTGACCAGAATTTACCTAGGTCTTACCTAAATTTAAAATGAACTAATTTTAATCCATTGTTCTGTGTTCTATTTTGTATTGATATATTTAATACCCTTATTAATATCCACCTTGTGCCTATTCATCCACATGTCACCAAAGAACTCTTTACCTTTCTAAAAAATGCTAAAAAAAAATTCAGTATCTTTATATGGAATGTTTCAAATTTGCAGCATTAACTTTGCCAACATTTGCTCAATGCATTCAGTGAATTTATCCCTTCATCTACATCCCTCCATCTATCCACCCATCTGTCCATTGATTTCTCCCTCTATCTTTCCATCCATCAATTTATCCATTTACCAATCTTATCTATCTATCCATTCATTTATCCATACATCTCCATTTGTCCACCCATTCTTCTATCCATCCATTTTCCCCCTGATCACCCTCGTCCCCCTGATCACCCAAGTCCCCAACCCTTGTCCCCACCCTTCATCCCTCCCCATGTTCTCCCTTCCTCCTCCTTTCCTCCTTTCTCCCTCCTCCTTTCCTTCTGCCTTCCCCTTAGGCCTCTCCCGTTTGCTCAAAAAATGTATGGGTCTTCCCCCCCCCCCCTCATCACCCACTCTCTCACCATCTTGGTAACCACTTTTCCCCTCCCTCCCCTTCACACCACTGCTTTTTTCTATCCTACAGTATTACAAATAGCATACTAAGATCAAGTCTCACTCTCTATAATATTAAATTACATTCACACAATACAATGATTCCCCCTTTTGAATGTGTAAGTTGGCCTTTCTTTTTACGTTAGGGGAGATTTTAGACCATACACTGGAATTTTGATTTAACGAACCTCAATTCAGAGAAGCTCTGGTTAGAATATGCACTTTACATGCCCGATTTACTCACCTGATTTGGCAAACGAGTTCGCTGAAGCAGGGGATGTGTGGATTTGCTTAGAATGTTGGGACCGAGTTCATAGATAGAGGCAACATTACAAGAAATAGTTTGGCCTCGGGAAAGCCATTGAGCATATCTAAAACCAAATTCTATGGTTCTTTTATTTTTCCAAGTTGTAGAGATTTTTGTTCTGTAAAATATGGGTCTTTGTTCCTTCAAAAATTATTCCATTAAAATGAGATTTTGAGGTGTGGGAAATATGCTAGATTGGTTAAATCTTTTACAGACAGGTTCCCTTGGTTGTTGCATTTCATATGACACATTGAAATTCTAATTGCATTCTGTGAAATCAGCCCAAAGAGCATGGGGAAATTAGATATATATGATGGCACTCTTAATATGGATCCAATCATGTTTTAATGAACAAATCCACAAGGGCCATGATAAGGGTTCGAACCTATGTCCAAGAGGATCCCAGACACACCTTAATCGACTGTACCGTGACATGGTAAAAGAATTGCAACCGGGAGGTCTATTGACCTCACACGGATCCTGCAGTCGATTAAGTCGCAGCTGGGATCCTCTTGGACGTAGGTTCAAACCCTCATCACGGCCTTTGATGATTTGTTCATTTGATGCATCACGCTATTGGGATTTCTGTGTGGAATGCTTTTAATGATTTTTGTAGATGGGCACAATATTAAAAAAAATTGTACAGGGCCTTGATGAAAAACCTTGAACACATTTAAAAGCAAATTCTATCGTTCATTTTAATTTTGTTATTCCCTTTTTTTCATTCACTGCTATGGGTCCTTTTTTCCTTTGAAAGTGAGATTTCAAGACTACGGCATAGAAAAAATGGTTAGATGTACAGTTTATTAAATCTCTCTATACAGGTTTTCTTGGTAGTTGTCCTTCATATGGCAGGTTGAAATTAAAATATCACTTGGTGAAGTTGGCTCTTACAGCGTCAGAAATATTAGGGAATGGTAACTTATTATGGCTCCAATCATATTTTGATGATTTTTATAGATGGACTCACCATTACAAGAAACAGTTGAAGCCTTGGAAAAGTGATTGAGAATATTTAAAAACTAAAATATTTATATATTTTTTTATTCAAGTTGGTAGGGTTTTTGTTCTCTCAGATATGGCACTGCTACTCTTTGAAAATAAGTTTTGAGGAAGGGAATGTGAGAAATAAACTAATGTGGTTAAAAAAAAATTTGCAGACATGTTCATTTGGTAGTTGTTTATTATAGGTTCTAATTAAAATTTCACTAAGTGAAATCAGCCCATAGGGCATGGGAAATGCATCCTGGAGGGATCTCTGGCTGCACCAAATTGGGGTTTGCCCCATATCACTTAGGTATAGTTCGCTGAATTGATGTTGTACTGTAATTGTTTTCGATGGGATGTGGCTTTATTTTAAATAACAGGAAATTTCTGGTGATTTTACCAAGATCAATGAATAATGCTGTATATTTCTATAAGATTTTTTTTTCCAAAATATTTGTGCAGGCATATTGGCAGGCTGTGCCAAAAGCTGTCAGTAGGGCTCTGAATGTGACCCTATCACACTACAGTACAGTATTTCCTTTTGAATTCTGGCGACCTCCACCAACTAGCCTATGTTCTTCCCATACCATAGCCCATTTCCCTGCCAATTAGGGTGAGGCTAGACCCCAAGTGTCTGGCCTACAACTTTGGACAGACATACATTCTTATAGTACAGATACTGTATATGTAATATATATATTACATATAAGCCAGATGCTGCTAACCTTGCCCAAATTTGCAAGGAAAATGGCCTGGGCGCCTGACAGCTGGGTGGACAGTGCTTCGGATTCGTAGTCCTGAGGTTCCGGGTTCGGTCCCCGATGGAGGCGGAGACAAATGGGCAAAATGTTTTTCACCCTGATGCCCCTGTTACCTAGCAGTAAATAG